CTCCCCCGTTCGACCGGCGACCAGAGGACGAAAAAGACGACGAGACGAAGACGCCGAGGCTGGTCGGGCAAAGCGCGGACGAAGGGGGCGACAACGAAGACACAGACAAGCACGACGACGAGGGCTACGACGAAGCTGGTCCGACGACAACCGCGACGACGACGACGACGACGACGACGACGACGACGACGACGACGACGACGACGACGACGACGACGAGGGGCGGCCTCGCCAGACCTGATCGCCTCGCACTCGCACACGGTGTTGCCCATATGGCCGGCGGCGGCGGCCCCCGGGCGGGGGCACCCGCGGCGCGCGAGCCCCCCCCCCCCCCCCCCCCCCCCCCCCCCCCCCCCCCGGCGGAGCTCCCTGGGCCCCGCGGCTGCGCTCTCGGCCCCCGGGACGCGGGCGGGGAGGTGCCGGGCCGGGTGCCCACCACCACTGCCACAGGCAGGACGGGGGAGAGTTTGAGGACAGGGAGGTCCTCCTCCTCCTCCTCCTCCTGCTCCTCCTGCTCCTCCTGCTCCTCCTGCTCCTCCTGCTCCTGCTCCTGCTCCTGCTCCTGCTCCTGCTCCTCCCTCCTCCTCCTCTCCTCCTCCCTCCTCCTCCTCCTCCTCTCCTCCTCCTCCTCTCCTCCTCCCCTTCTCCTCCTCCTCCTCCTCCTCCTCCTCCTCCCTCTCCCTACCTGCAGTAGCGGTGGTGGAAAGTCGGCCCCTCAAGGCGGGGATGGGAATCGGGGGGGCGGGAGCTGGCGGTGCCGGCCTGGAGCCCTGCGATCCGTGCTCAACCGGCCAGAGGTGCCCGCTGGAACCCTGGCTCCTTGCCGGGGAGGGGCCGAAAAGAGCGCGCGTCGGGGCCCCGCCTCGGGCCCCCCACCGGGCGAGGAGGCTCTGGCCGCCCGCGTCGGGCCTCCGCCCCGTTCGCCTCTCGTCCGTCCGCTGTCGTGCATCCGCCTCCTCCGTCTGCAGACCCCGGCGAGGTTTAAGTCGGGCGCGTCCCCCTACAGGGGGATTTTCGAGGAAAAACAAGTACCCAAGAAACGTTCCAAAAGGGTCAAACAAGTACTCGATAAAATAGTCCCCATACTATTTTGTTACACCATCTTTGAGTGTTCCCCCCTGCAGAGGGACAGGCCCGACTTGAGACGAGGCCGGGGGGGCGGAGCGGAGGCGGGGGAGGCGGGGGCGGAATGGAGCTAGGGAGCGGGAGGCGCCGGACGTGCCTGCGCCGCGAGTGCTTCCGCCTGGCGCCCGCCGAGCGGGCCTCCGTGGGCCCAGGAGGGCGAGCGAGAGGCGGGGCAGGCAGGCTCTCCTCCGACCTTTTGAGGAGGCTGGCAGAGGCCTCCTAGGTGGGGTCGGAGTAAACAGGGTCGAAGGATCGCCCTGCATCGGCGATGCATCGGCGATGCATCGGCGTTGCACTGGCGATACATTGGCGATGCCCACGATGCATCGGCGCCGTCGGCATGGCAGAAGTCGGGCTCCGCATCGAGCCGCATCGTCGATGCATCGGCGGTGCGGCGCGATCCTTCGGCCCCATCTGCTCCGACCCCATCTGGGGCCCCCCCCCCCCACCCCAGATCACCGCCAGGGCAGACGCCGAAGCCCCATGCCCGACATGGAGGTCACCAGTGGCTCGCTCCTCCTCGGTCCTGCGCCGCAAGGTGCTCCCGCGCAGAAAAGATTGGGAGGGGATGGGGGAGGTGGGGGAGGAGAGCGAAGGGGAGCGGCCAGGGGAACGTAAAACAGGCGAACAGGGAGGGGGGAGAACCGACCATGGGGGGGAGGGAGAGCGGGTCCGAGTCGCTCCGTGGGCCGCTGCTCGAGTTGCTCGTGCTCTCGCTCGGAGCACTGCACGTCTGCTGGCTGCAGCCTCTCTCCAGAATTTCTGCGGCGTCCAGGGCGTAAGTATTCGCGAGTTCCCGGAACGGCAATCGTGGGTGAGAGGAGCGTCCAGCCTCGTCTCGTCAATCCCCTATATTAGGTTGTCGACGCTGTGCTGAGAGACAACATGCATAACATTTCGACTCCCAATGCCCCCCACACACCAGGCACGCCCACTAGCACTTCATGACACGGCATGCTTGTTCAGCCATGAGGTGAAACAAATACGAGCTGTCACTACTACGAACTCAAGTGGCAATCCACATCCAAATCCTATCTGTTCAATCGTCCCAGAAAGCATTGCAAAACGCCTCCTTGTGAAAGTCTCGATGGAAAGTCATCCAACATCTTTTAGCTCGTCAGAACACACATGAATAGTTGTTGTATGAAGAGCCGTGGTGAAATTCTCATCGTCCGCACACTCCCTGCTCTGCTGCTACCCTTTCTCCCTGCTGCCTGGCGAAGGACGACGGAGGAGAGGCAGGCGAGCCTCGATAATTACGACGACGGCGACGACGACGACGACCACGACGTCGACAACGACAAGAAGGACGAGGACGACGACGGCGACGACGACCACGACGACGTCTCGCGCCCTCTGAGAGGCAGGATTCTTCTGAGAAGCCCTCCCCCCTCCCCTGCCCTTTGGACGCCCGAAATGGGTACGGACAAAAATGAATACAATGCCCAACAACAAATGTCGTCCCAAACCAACAGCGGTCGCTGTCGGGCAGGCGGCCTTCTGTCTCGAATGGACACAGGCCGCGGCGGCGTGGACAGCGAATCCTTCTCAAGAGGAACAGGAACTGCTGTTGAGCATTGTACCCAGTCTTTCCGTAACAATTTCGTTCGTGCCGAGCCGCGACGCGCTGGGGGATGAGGAGAAGGAGAGGGAGGAGGAGGAGGAGGAGGAGGAGGAGGAGGAGGAGGAGGAGGAGGAGGAGGAGGAGGAGGAGGAGGAGGAGGAGGAGGAGGAGAGGAGGAGGAGGAGGAGGAGGAGGAGGAGGAGGAGGAGGAGGAGGAGGAGGAGGAGGAGGAGGAGGAGAGGAAGGAGGAGGAGCCCACGCCTCGGAGGGGGGCGCGGTCCGTTTGCCGCTCGCGCCTAGCCCTCGGCGCCGACGCGTGCGCCGCCGGCCAGCTCAGAGACGAAGAAGCCGCCGACCTCGACCAGGGCGGCGACGACGGTCACACCGTCATGAAATCCTTCACCTGGTGGGCGATCTTCATCTGCTCCAGGTACGGGGAGGACAGTCTCACTCTCAGGTCGCAACCCTTCCAGCCGTAGACCAGCAGGAGGCACACCATCATGGTGTACGGCATCTTCACCATGGAGTCCAGCACCTGCAGGGAACAGCACTTGTCCAAGACGACCACTCCCATTCACATCACCCTGCGAGTCGCCAGTGTCAGCGAAAATCTGTGCGACCATAAGTTGATTGAATGCATCTTGATCTTCATCGTCCTCACTGAACTCGTCTCCGTCGAAGTGCATGCCGCAATCGTCCCCGTCAGAAACTTCGAAACTTTCTGCTTCGGCCTGCGCCATCAGGAGCTCTTCCACCTCCACCATTCCGTCGTCGTTGGACGTGTCCTCAGCATTGCCCACCAGGAGAGCGTGATCATCTTCTACGCCACCCTCCAGTAAAGAGCCAGGGTTCTGTAGCAACCAGACCACGAGCTCGCGCCGCTCTGCAGAAAGTAGATGGTTGTCATCCAGATACCGTGTAGCAGCCACAATCTGAGCAGTCGAGAGAACAGCTCCATGTTCCGCTGGGAGAAAAGAGCCTCCTTGCACCGCTGTAATTACAGAGCGAACTAGAGCACTGACCGATTAGAGCGCCCGAATTTGTGGCAGAGCTTGACGTGCATCATCACCGTCACAGCGAACAGGTGCTCCAGATCCTTCATTGAGAGCGCTCCCCGCACAAGCCACACCTGGAGTGGCCAGAATCGGTGGCGGCGACGCAGACACAGGCCCAGGCGAAGTCAAGGATGTAGAAGACCAGTGAGCCCCACCAAAGGAGCCGTCTGGGTGGAAGACACCATGCCCATATGCAGCCATCTTTTGAATCACCTCATGGCCAGAGCTATCGTTGGCGGCCACTGGCGAGGAAGGGCACGCAGGCGAAGACAGAGCTGGAATAGCTGACGCAGAAGCCGCAGAAGGTGCCGACGACATGGCCGCAGCGGTGCTGTCTTGATCTCGCCTGCCAGCCTCCCTGAACCTGCTCAACATCAGTTGATATTGCGCTTCAAACTCTGCATCGTAGAGGATATGCTCGATGTGATGCGAGAACTCTCCGGCAACCAAAGTATCAAACTCGCACTCGGGCAGTGGCGCTCCACCAGGTAGGGGCGCCCCCGAGACATTTGTGGCTTCGCCCAAATTCACGATGTCCTCGTCGGTAGAGTTGGGAAAGTCGTCCGCATCAATGCTTTCGTAGACTTCACCAGGCAGATGGGTAGAGCCCGCAGCAACCACTGCATCCAGAAGGGCTTGCTCGTGTAGGTGGGGGAGAAGGAGCAGCTCAGGAGTCGCAGCCTTCGCAGGCCCAGAAAAGAAAGTACTGCGAACCAGCAGAAAATTCCCGCGCTCTTCTATAGGCATCCTCGCGACGTCAGGACACCAATCCAACTGCCGCAAGTGAGCCATCCCCAGACGCCGTAGGACTGCAAGATGGCGACGTACATAGGGCGTCCACGTGGTGCTGAGCTGTTGGCGGAACTGCTCCCTCGGTCGGGCGCCTTGATACCACCCATGCAAGCAGAGCTCGATGGCGAGCTCCCAGCGTTTCGCCCCGTCCGTCATCGTGTTGGCTGGACACTGCAAGAGATCTTTGAAGCAGCGATAGCGTAACGTGTCTGCAGTGAAGGGAACGCACCACTCCATCCACTGCTGGAAGTCGCTGCCGCTGGTGCAGACAAGCAAACTCGGAACCCATCTCTGTGACCACAGGAGGAGGAGGAGGAGGAGGAGGAGGAGGAGGAGGAGGAGGAGGAGGCCATCTGCGCGTGGCTGGCTCCTCCGCCCCCCTCCTCCCGGGCGCCGCCGTGCGGACCGCGATCCGGCGGCCCGCCCACCCCCGCGCGGCCCAGCGGCCGCCACGGGGCGGCGCGTCACTCCGCCTGCCGCGGGTGGGGGGAGGGAGGGGGGGAGGGAGGGAGGGAGGGAGGGGGGGAGGGAGGGAGGGAGGGAGGGAGGGAGGGAGGGAGGGAGGAGGAGGAGGAGGAGGGAGGGAGGAGGAGGAGGAGGAGGAGGAGGAGGAGGAGGGAGGGAGGAGGAGGAGGAGGAGGAGGAGGAGGAGGAGGAGGAGGAGGACGACGACAACGAGGAGGAGGCTGGCAAACGCAGGCTCTTGTCCTGTCCCGTCCTGTCCGCCCCAGCGCCCCCCCCCGCTGGGGCGCGGGTGGGGGGCCCCAGTGCTGAGGCGCTGCCACTCAGGGGGCCTCAGGAAGATGTCGAGGGTGGGGGGAGGGACGGGCCCCGGGCCGAGGCGCTGCCGCTCGGGGGCCTTCGGAAGAAGCTGCGCTCGGTGGTCTCTGTGAGCAGAGTACGGAGATGAACTCTCTGTGTGCACCGACGCTGCTTCCAACACTGTATACTGGCATCTGCAGCCGGGAGGGCGGATCCTGGTGTGTACGGGGCCCAGGGGTATACATGTGTCCCAACCCTCCTGTGTTGGGCACTCGTTTTGAATAGAGCAGTGTGGTCTCCACCTCCTCCTCCTCCTCCTCCTCCTCCTCCTCCTCCTCCTCCTCCTTCTCTCCTCCTCTCCTCCTCTCCTCCTCTCCTCCTTCTCTCCTGTTTCCTGTGTTCCCATCTCCTCTTCTCTCGTGCCGTCTGCGATCTGCGCAACTGTCGCCACTCTCGTGGGCTCCTGGGAGGCCCAGCGGAGGTACGTCCCACGCGGACCACCTCGGGACCTCGCCGCCCCCTGGGGGGGCTTGCGATCTGTGCAGCTGTCGCCACTTTCGTGGGCTCCTGGGAGGCCCAGCGGAGGTGGGTCCCACGCGGACCACCTCGGGACCTCGCCGCCCCCTGGGGGGCTTGCGATCTGTGCAGCTGCCGCCACTTTCGTGGGCTCCTGGGAGGCCCAGCGGAGGTACGTCATACGCGGACCACCTCGGGACCTCGCCGCCCCCTGGGGGGCTTGCGATCTGTGCAGCTGCCGCCACTTTCGTGGGCTCCTGGGAGGCCCAGCGGAAGGTACGTCATACGCGGACCACCTCGGGACCTCGCGCCCTCTGGGGGGCTTGCGATCTGTGCAGCTGCCGCCACTTTCGTGGGCTCCTGGGAGGCCCAGCGGAGGTGGGTCCCACGCGGGCCACCTCGGGACCTAGCCGCCCCCTGGGGGGTTTGCGATCTGCGCCATAGTCGCCACTTTCGTGGGCTCATGGGAGGCCCAACCTCGCCGCCCCCTGGGGGGCTTGCGATCTGCGCAACTGCCGCCACTTTCGTGGGCTCCTGGGAGGCCCAGCGAAGGTACGTCCCACGCGGACCACCTCGGGAACTCGCCGCCCCTGGGGGGGCTTGCGATCTGTGCAGCTGTCGCCACTTTCGTGAGCTCCTGGGAGGCCCAGCGGGGGTACGTCCCACGCGGACCACCTCGGGACCTCGCCGCCCCCTGGGGGAGCTTGCGGTCTGTGCAGCTGCCGCCACTTTCGTGGGCTCCTGGGAGGCCCAGCGGAGGTGGGTCCCACGCGGGCCACCTCGGGACCTCGCCGCCCCCCGGGGGGCTTACGATCTGCGCAACTGTCGCCACTTTCGTGGGCTCCTGGGAGGCCCAGCGGAGGTGGGTCCCACGCGGGCCACCTCGGGACCTCGCCGCCCCCTGGGGGGGCTTGCGATCTGTGCAGCTGTCGCCACTTTCGTGGGCTCCTGGGAGGCCCAGCGGAGGTGGGTCCCATGCGGACCACCTCGGGACCTCGCCGCCCCCTGGGAGGCTTGCGATCTGCGCAGCTGTCGACACAAAGTGTGGTGTCGGACGAGCTGCGTTAAGACGCCTTCTGTTCAAAATGGGGCTCTCGCTCTAGACATCCTCGAAACTAGCGAAATGAGGCTCTTGCCCCTGTGTTTCCATTTTGTATATTTGCCATTCCCCTTCTTGCTGCGCTCTTCTGAAATCACTGCTCGTTGCTCTTCTTGCGCACGGCGGGTCCTTCAGAATGCCAGTCAGCATTGAGTGGTCCTGAATAGAATCACCACATTTATAGAAAGGGTTGGGTACGTCACAGGGTAATTTGCGACTTCCCCGGGAAAGTGGGGAAACGAGTATACACCACACCATCCCGACGTCGTCCCCGACCCTCAAAAAATTCTGGGATTGAAAAACAATCCGCCACTGGTAATGTATATGCTCCAATTTCGGATAGAAGATACATTCCGCGGTCTTCACAAGTATGTGGGCCGGCAGAGCCTCATTCCAGGCTCCTGATGCTGGTGCACACTTGGTGGCACTAGGACCCAAGGCGCTAAGCAGCTGAGGCCACGTCCCGCGGTGGCAGAGTCGCGGGGAGCCCAAGCACTGCGGAACACAGGCGCGACTCGTGAGGGGTGCCGAAGTGGGCCGGTGTGCCCTGGGGACGCAGACGAAGCCCCAGGACGCCGGAGGCCGTTTGCGCCGAGCTCCTGGGTCCGGGTCTGGGACGCAGGGCTCTGGGCCGAGATCCTGGCTGCTGGCGAGCGTGGGTCTCGTGGGTCAGGGTCTCGTGGGCAACTGGCGCGTCCGGGTCTCGTGGGTCTCTGGCCGCTGGCAAGCGTTTTCGGAGTTCTCTATGCCTGCGTCTGCCTCTGACTTGCAACGCGTCGAAGGAGCCAACATCGTGTTGTGTCCACCCCTCTTGCGTGGCTGCGTGGCCGTGTGGCGGACAGAACACATTTGTGGCTGCTCCGCCCCTCTGCATTGCCATGTGACGAGCAGGCTAGAAACTTATTTTGTTCCGCCTCTTTGCGTTGTCAAGCCACGAGGACAACAGGATGATGTGTGTTCGCCGCCCCTACGTCGCCACGCGCCGAAGAAGACTAGAATAATACGTGTCTGCTCCCCTGCCTTGCCTCGCGACGGAAATCATGGGTATGTATTCGTTTCTCCCCACTGCGTTGCCACGTTCCGAGCAGAGTGAAATCGTCATTGTTCCACACCCCTGCGTTGCCGCGTGGCGAATGAGAGCAGAACAGTATGTTCACGTTACCTTTGCGTTGCCACGTGACAAGGAAAGTGGGATATTCGTCCTCCTGCGTTGCCACGTGCCGAGCAGATCATTAAAGGATTGGTTATGCCCAAACTTCGTTGTCACTTGACGGATATTAAGGGATATGTGTTAGTTTCATCCCTCTGCGTGATCACGCGGTGAGCAGAACGGAATCGCATGTTTCTAACCCCCAACTGAAATATTATGCTTCCCGTCCCCTCTGCGCAACGATGTGACGAATCGAACAAATGTACACTAGAACCATCGCGCGCGCTTCGCGCGCGCTCAAGTTCTAGCTGGGCTTGATCGGCCAACTCATGTAATCTCATGTTGGTCGCTTATTGCGTCCAGGGACTCCCTTGGAGGCCCTGCGCAAGCCTCGGAATCGTGTAGAAGGGGAAGTGCGGAAACGCAGAAATCATGATTTTCCTTTTTAGGTATTCAACGATTTGGGGCCCTCAAAGGCTCCTTGGGTTTTTTGGGGGAGGTGAGGGGGTCTGAATTGTGCTCTGTTGTGCAAGAATAGACCGGGGGCCAAACTTGAAAAAAATGGAATTGTGGGATGTCCATGTTTTTCCAGTTCCTCGGCGCTGTTCGGCGCTGTTTTTTGTTTGTGCCTCGCGGGCTTTGTTAGCCGGGCCCCTCAGGGGTGTGGGATCTTCTGGACCCCCTGGGGGTTCTGGAGGCCTCCTGGAGGCCTGGAGAGCCGTCGAAAGGGTGGCTCGGGCTGCGCGGGAGCGTGTTGGGCCGTTCTGTACGTTCTGGGGGCTCATTGGGGTCGTCTTGGGCTGTCCTTGGGCGTCTTGGGGGCCCCCCGGGAAGCGGGGAGGCGCGGTACCGGCCAGATGTCAGGGGATGTGTGGGATCTCCGAGTCGGAGTTCCGCTTTGAAAAAAGAGGGAATTCTGGGAATTCCCTTTTTTCGCAAGAAATCCTCGATCTTCGAGGGTTGGAAGCGGGAAAACGTGAGAAGGCGAAAAACATCATAAAAACCATGGGTCATCAACGATTTTACCCTCTTTGGTCTCTCTCGGGACGGCTCTCGCAGCTCTCTTGGGCTGTTCTTGGAGCCTCGTCGGGGTCTTCTTGGGGCCTCCCAGGGATCGGGATGTGTTGGGGGCCTCTGAAGGGTCCCGGAGGCCTCTCGGAGGTCTCTGGGAGCCTCCTGCTCCCGCTCTTGGGCCCATTTTGGGCCTGTTCTGGGGTGGTCTGGGGCTGTCCTGGGCGCCTCTTCGGCAGCCTTGGAGCCTTCTTGGCTCGTCCTGGGGCCGTCCTGAAGGTCTCTTGGGTGGTCTCAGGGCGGTCTTGGGAGCCTCTTCGGCGCTCTTGGACCATTGGTAGCTCGAAAACGCGAGAAGCCAAAAACATTGAAACAAAACATGGGCATCGACGATGTTGGCCTCTTCGGGCCGTCCCGGGACGCCTCTCGGATCTCTCTTGGGGTCTCTTGGAGGCCACCTGGGAGCCTCGAGAGCAGTCGGAAGGCTGACTTGGGCTGCTTGGGAGCGTCTTGGACCATCCTTTTGCATTCTGGGGGCTCCTGGGAGGCGTCTTGGGCCCTCCTGGGGCGCTGTGGAGGCTCCCCGAAAAGGCCTCTTGGGCTCCTGGGGGGCGTTCTTGGGCGTGGGCCGTCTTGGCCCCCTCGTGGGCCGTCTTGGCCCCCTCTTGGGGGCATCCTCGACCGGCTTGGGTGCCTCTTGGGCCGTCTTGGACGCAGTGGAAGCCCCAAAGGCGAACACGTCAAAAATATCAGTTTCCCCAGAAGGAAATCGACGATTTTTGCTTATTTGGGGCTCTATTGGGGTGCCTCTTGGGGCGTCTTCGGGGCCTCTTTTGGTATTTTGTCGGGTCTCATGGGGGCCTCTTGGGGCTTTTTGGGCGCTTCTTGGAGCCTCTTGGGGTCTCCTGGGGGTCTCTTGGGCCAAAAGGCGCGAATTTCCGGTTCCTCGTCCCCGTCTTGGGCGCCGCCTTGGGGCGTTCTTGAGCGGTTTGGGCGCCTCGTGGGCCGTCTTGGCCCCCTCGTGGGCCGTCTTGGCCCCCTCTTGGCAGCATCCTCGACCGGCTTGGGTGCCTCTTGGGCCGTCTTGGACGCAGTGGAAGCCCAAAAGGCGAACATGCCAAAAACAGCAGTTTTCCTATAAGAAATCAACGATGTTTGATTATTGGGGCTCTCTCTGGGTGCCTCTTGGGGCGTCTCCGGGGCCTTCGGGAGCCTGCTTGGCGTCATGGGAGTCGTCTTGAAAGGCATCTAGAGCCATCGGAGCGCGTTTTCGAGCGTGCCGAAACCATCTTCGGGCGATCTTGGACGGCCCCCGGCGCTCCGGCAGGGCTCCCGGCGCGCTAGGCCCCACATTTGTGGTCGTGGTCCCAGCCCCCGGCCCCCGGACCCAGTCCCCCGTTATATGTATATTCGTTTCGCCCCTCTGGGTTGCCACGTGGCGAGCAACTTGGAAATGTTTCTTCTGCCCCCCTGCAGTGCCACGTGAAGAATCGAGTGGAGTAGCATTTCTCAGCCCTTGTGCGACGCCACGCGACGAGGACGTGCGATAACGTGATTTCGCCCTCCTGTGTTGCTACGTGCCGAGTATATGAAAGCTATATTTCGTTACCGCCAACCGCACCCTCTGCGTTGCCACATGACGGGTATTGCGTGCAAGCGTACAACCGCATTGTTTCCGTTCCCTGCATTGCCACCTGGCGAATAGGATAATGATCATTTGTTCAAGCCCCTTCGCGTTGCCACTTGAAGTATGGCGTAGATGTACATGTGTGTCGCCCCTCTACGATGCCACGGGGCGACTAGAGTGGACTGTGTTTGTTTGCGGACACTTTGTCGCGCCTCCCTGTGTTGCCGCGTGACGAAACACGATATTTGTGTACCCCCCCAGTGTTGCCGCGCGGCGGGCGCAGTGCAACAGAGTGTTGTGCCCGCCGGCTTCGCCGCCTGATGGATATGATGAACCGGTATGCTTCCCGCTGCTGCGTTGCCACGTGGTGTGTAGCGTGGAATTTTACTTGCTTTGATCCCTTGCGCTACCGCGTGGTGGATATAGAGGTGCAGTACTCTTTCAAACTCAAGATTGCAATTTGTGCTTGGGGTTAGGGGTACGACATGGGGTGTCAGGGCTGAGCACCGGGTGTTTGCCTCAGGTCGACTGCTGATGGTTAGGGTTATGGTTTTCGTGTCAGCGTACATGGGTTTCGGGTGGTACGGTTTCTGACCAGGGTGTGTGCCCAGAGGTAAGGCTAGATTGTTGAAAGTTGCAGTGCTAGGGTTAGGGGTTCGGCGTTTGGGTTAGTTTTAACCCCAAGGGGGTTGGTAACCCAAGGATGATAGGTTCTTGCCAGGCGGGTTCATTGTTGTCACTCAGGAGCTCCATCTTCAAGAAGATCGCGGACACATGCTACGCGCCAGTTGTATGTAATAATTTGTGTATATATATATATATATATATACACGCACCCGAACACTATAACCATCGCGAACGTTTCGCGCGCGCTTCTAGCTGGTCGAGTGCTGACCGCATTGAGACAACAAGGCGGTCATGAACAATGAGGTCAACATTATATGTTTCCTCTTGCCTCTTCATCATTTCTCCTCCTCCGCTCTCATCGACCGGTCGACCAGTGATCTGTCGCCAAGTTTCTTGGGGACCTCTTGACCCTTCCTGGGGGTCTCCTGGGGCGAAGATCTCGGGTTCTCGGTTCACGTTCCCGATAATGGCCTTCGGCCCATCCCGCCACTGTGCCTGGGTTGTGGCTTTGAGGCCTCTTGGAAGTTCGTTTGGAATTCGTGCGATGTTCCCCAGGGGCCTCTTGAAGGCAGTTTGGGAGGCCTATTGGGGGCCGTTTGGGGTGTTCGTGGGGCGTCTTTTTGGGCCCCTTTGGGGCCTCGTGGGGCCTCTACGGGGCCTTTGGGGGGCCTCTTCGGCTCTGTTGGGAGCCTCTTGGGGCCTCTGGGGGCCTCTTGGGGCGGAAGGCTCGAATTGTCTGTTCGTTTTCCCCCTCGTGGGCCCCTCTTGGGGCCGTCTTGGGGGGGCCCTCTTGGGCGATCTCGGGCGCCTCCTGGGCCGTCTTGGGGCACTCGTGGGCCGTCTTGGGATTTTCTTGCGCCGTCGTGGTACCCTCTTTGGATGCCTGTTGGGCCGTCTTGAGCTGATTTCTGGGGCCTCGTGGGCGGTCCGTCGGAAGCACGAGACAGTGAGAAGACGAAAACCCTGCCAAACCATTGAAACACACACACACACGCACACACACACACACACACACACACACACACACACACACACACACACACACACACACACACACACACACGTAGTTCTTTCGCCTCCTGAAGCCTCGTGGAAGTCCTTTGGAGGGCATCTTGGCCGTCTTGAAGCCCTCTGGGGCCGTCTTCAAGCCATGTTGGACCAATTCTGAAACGCTCTTGTGCGGTCTTGGGTTCTCTTGACGCACTCTTGGGCCATCTTGGCGCCCTCTTGGACGTCTCTCGGCCCTTTCTTGACGCTTTTTGGCGCCCCCCGCGGGGCCCGAAACGGCCAGATGACAAATCACTGTACCTTGGGGGCCCCGGGACCCCTGCAAATTTGTATTCATATACGTGTCCTTGCCAATACCTCGGCTGGGCACCGTAAGCTGGCCTCGCCTGTGAGGACCACCGACACGCTTCTCGCACTTTGCATCACAGGGGCTGCGTAGGCTGTCGCACCCCATGAAGCCATCGTCAAACTTCAACGTCAATGGGCGCAAGAGTGGGCGAGGCTACCCTACGGCACTTCTGTCAACGAAGACGGCGGTGGGGGAGGTTAAACGTACCTCCACTTTTTCCACATGTTGCCCGTCGGCGTCACTCAACACTCATAGCTTTCCACTCCGCAAACTCCTCGTGAACCTCGTCGTCCTCGCTGCTGCTGCCGGTCCTCCCCATCCTCTTGCTGATCCACGGCCCGCCGCCAGACCCGTCTTAGGTCGCGTGTCCACAGGGGCCCCGCGTGTCGGCCGGGAGCCTGGGGCGCGCCACGCAGGAGGGGGTGTGCCCCCATCAGACGGGCTTCTCTCGCAGCAGCTGGGCTGGGGGGCGACAACACGCCTGGGCATCTACCAGCGGCAGGGCGCACCACTGAAAACCTCGTGTCGACGCGGAGGGGAGGGGGGAATATCATGTGAACGAAAGTAGGGAGCCGAAGGGCCTAACCGTCCGTCCGAAAGAAATCCGTAGGTAGAGGAATGATGACAGTGATGAAGGATTTGATCCCTCGATGCTGTCCAGTCAGGTGAGACTGTCTATCTCCTGTACCTGTGACGAGATCGGCAGCCGTAGAGAAGGGTAAGCGCGGGAGAAAAGGGGAACACACACACACACGCACACACACACATAGAAAGCAGGTTGGAGGGGAACCTAACAAAAAACTCCTCCTCCTCCTCCTCCTCCTCCTTCTCCCCCCTAAGGCGACAACGTTTGGCGCCGCCGGCGCCTGTGCCGCCGCTGCGGCCTGGTGCCGCAGCCAGCGGGGCAGCAGGGCGTCCTTCAGGGACTGGTTGGCGAAGACGCCGGCGTCCTGCTGCACCTCTCCGCTGGTGTGAGGGAGGGGGGAGCGACATCGGGCGAGGGAAGGAAACGCGGAAAGCCCTGAGATCCGGGGCGTCGCATTCTTGTCGCACCGGGCGTTTTGGGCAGGTCTCTGGCCCCGTGATCACCACAAATCGATCGGGTTCGAAAAATGCTGCAGAAATATTGTGTCTCGGGCTCGGGTCATGACTTTTGACAGGGAAGTGGGATGGAGGCCCGCGCGTGGAATGAAACAAATTCTCTTCCAAAGGCCGCCGCCACCGGCTTGAGCGCGACGCTCAGCGGGGGCGACAGAGGGGTCCACCAGCAATTCGCCGTGCCTCTGGCATGACTCGGGTGCTCGTGACGCGCAGTTAAACCGTGTCCAGTTGGGCGCGATGCGGTCGCTGCCGAAAGTCCAGGAGGGGGAGAGGGGAAGGGGGAACGGGGGGGGGGCGGGCGGAGCCAGAGGACGACTGGGAGGAATTCGAGGATGGGCGGTATCAGCACGAGGAGGAGCAGGAGGGGAGGAGGAGGAGGAGGAGGAGGAGGAGGAGGAGGAAGAGGAGGAGGCACGGCAGGAGGATCCCGTCAGACACCTGCCCAAGCAGCAGCATCATCCCGAACGCTCCCGAGGCACTGTGAGGATGCGCAGAAGAGCAGGAGGAGGGCGGGATGCTCGAGGGGCCGTCAGGCTGAAGCTCTGCGGGAGAGGGAAGGCGGAGGGGGCAAGAGGAGGAGAGGGCGCCGACGGCTCGAAAGCAGGTTCCCTACCCAGCGCATTCGGAAGAGGGGCAGAGGAGGGAAGAGGAGGCAACAGGGAAGGAGGAAAAGATGGGGAATGCGCCCCCCCCGGCCCCAGCTCAGACCTACCGGCCGTCGTCCGAGCAGTCCCGGCTGTTGCCTGAGCCACTGTCGTCGGCGGCCTCCCTGCCCAGCGCCCAGACTCGATCAGCGCCCCCAGCTGGCAGCCCGCACGCGGCGAAGATGTACCCCATTGCTTCCTGGGCTGTCCTGGCTGATCTGCGGGGGGCAGCTGGCGCCGAGAGCGCCGGGCTTCTCCAGCGTGAGCTGCTTCAGCGCGGGCTTGTAGTGGGGAATTGCCCAGTCCCCGCGGATCTGCTCTTCTAATGCCCAGCCATGGCCTCTCCAGGACGGCCGTCCGAGGAATGCCCCCAGCATCTCATGCATTAAACACACGCATTGATTCCTACGCTCGCGAATGTACGCCTTCGGCAGCGCGTGCCCACCGCGCTCGAAGGCCTCTCTTGGGCGCGCCGCCCTCTGGGGGTTCCACCCGTCGTTCGCCCAGTGTCGCGGAGGCAGCTGCGGAGTCTTTGGGGTCTGCACTGCTGCAGGCTGCCTGGCTGCGCGGCTCCTCCGGCTGCTTCCCGCCCAAAGCCAGCCCTCCTCAACCTCCTCCAGCTCCTCCGCCACTAGCTCCTCCTCAGCCTCGCCTTCCTCGCAACCTGCAGTGCCCAGCCCTGCGCGCCGCTGTGCTGGCCCCTCCCTCCCGGGAGGCTGCTCGGCGGGGAAGTAGTCGTGGTCCTGGAAGCCACTGTCGGCCAGCCACGCTTCGCGCCCCCCCGCCCATCGCGCCGTCTGCTGCGCCAGAGCCTCCAGCCCCTTGCACAGCGCCACGTCGTTGCCGTGGATTCCGCGCCGCGGCGCTCCGCACTTCGCACGAGTGTTTGCCGCCATGCTGCCCCTGTCCTCCCAAGGAGAAATGCGGCCCACATGCGCATCTGCCATGGTGGCGCGCGCGCACCTTGGTGGCCCCCAGAACGATCGCCGCGCGTGCGGCTTGGGATCGGTCGACAACGCCCCCCCGGCCTCGCCCCAAGGCAGGGGTGTCTACTGTGCCCTGGCAGTCGACATAGAGGTCCATGTTGGCCGTAGCCACCGTGGGCAGCATAGCGGTGGCATGAGTCTCCCCCGTCCAGCGAATTCTGGCTGGGCGCCCGCGCTATGGGCACTGGGCCACATGCTGCCGCCCCCCCGTTGCCGAAGCGGTCTGTCTGGACCACGGCCCAGCCCGCTCGTGCCAAGCAAGTTCCTAGGCACATGCCACTGCCGTCCGTGAACAAGATGCCCGACAGCCTGCCTTCTAGGGGCTGGTTGAACCAGAAGATCTGCTCACCGAGGTCGGTGCGAAGGAAGGCGCGCAACGGGTCCGGGGCGATGCCCATGGCAAACTTGCCGGCTGCTTCCGCACTCCGCTCCCTCCCTCCTCGCCTGCTCCTGCAGCCAAGGCGGGCGCAGGTCCCGCCGCGCCGCCGGCGACGCATCGCAGCCGAATCTTCGATGCCAGTGCGATGCGGGCGCTCCTTAGCATAGGGCGCAGCGGTCGCTCTGAGCCAGGCCGCGCGCACGCAAGCGCTGCTGACACCAATGGCAGTTCGACATGACGCTCCGCAGCGCCCGCTGTTTCTGGCGGCTCCAACCGTTGCCGGCCCTCTCTGTGTGGGAGAGGCTTCAGGGCCGACCAGAACATCGGGCCTGCCTCGAATTCGTCGGCCTCTGCTGTGTCCATGGGTTGGGCGCCCGAACTATCCGGGGTAACTCGGGTCCGGGGTAAGTCGGGTTCGGAATCCCGAAAAACCAACCCGAGTTAGCCCTGACCCGAGTTACCCCTGATGATTCGGGGCTCTGGACGCCCGAATTATCCGGGGTAAGTCGGGCCCGGGGTAAGTCGGGTTCGGAATCCCGAACAACGAACCCGAGTTAGCCCTGACCCGAGTTACCCCCTGATGATTCGGGGCTCTGAGTGGGTCGCCTTCCCGCGGTCCTGCCTTGGGCATGCGAGGCCATCCGGCCCGAAGCCCGGATTGCGGCGAGCACAGCCAGCTGCTGCACCCGTCGGGGAGGCGTGACCGTCGAGTCGATGGTCTCGCCCATGTCGGTTGTGAGGGTGGTGGAGCTGTGGAAGATCCACCCGACGTGCCGCAACGTCTCGAACGCCGCGTCCGGGGTCGCGACCAGCCGCCGCGGCTTGTCGGCCGCCTGAAGCTTCGTCACCGCCTGCTCCAACACCACCTGCATTTTCCTGGGCGCTGGGTACGGCTTCCCAGATGGATTGCTCCCAGACGCCGATCGTCTGGCGGTTGACGATTACCAGGGGATCGACAGTGCATCCGGATCGGTGCGAGTGTAGATGCACCCCCACTGGGCATCCTCGCGGCAGTCTTCCGACGCTGCCAGCGGCCGCAACCCGCAGCCCACGCATGGCAATGTTGCTCACACCGGCCACTGCCTATCCCCAAGTGGCCTGAGCTGTCGGGCCCACCCTGTGGGCCAGTGCAGTGTCGGCGCCTGCTGCCCTCAACCTCCTCGTCCTCCTGCCTCTCCTCATCCCCTCCTGCTGCTGGGCCCGCGCCACGCCCACTCGGCGCACCTTGCCCATGGTGCAGTCGCTGCCCCAAAACCAGCAATGGGTTACCTCCGCCGATGCCGGCAACGCCCACTCCTTCCCCAGCAACGCTTCGACCGTCGGGTTGCTGCCCATATAGTGCTGCTTCTTGAGCACAATCGGTAGGTGCAACCGGTGGCACTCTTGCATGAATGCTGCAGTGCCAGCCCTTACCTGCCTGGCTACGTCCTGGGCCTTGCCACACCCTTGTATCGACACGTCGTCTACCACATAGCGCACATGCAGAAGCTGGCGCTGTTCTCGGACGAGGCGAAGCGGCGTCAATAGGAGCACTTTCGCCGACGCCGTGGCCCCTGAGCACCCCGCGATGACCGAACCGTTCGCCCTCACATGCTCTGACACGGCTCTGGCGTAGAGGAGGGCACGCGGTCCCGCATAAATGGTGCAGAGACTGCGCAGCAGCCGCGTGGGGAATTGGTGGCAGCGCGCCGCGTCCAGCAGGTCCTTCCAACGGATGTGGTCGTACAGTTTCCGAGGTCCAGTAGCACCGTCGCCGTGCTGGCCCCGATGGCGTCGGTGAACGCCGCGAACACGCCGTGCACCCATCCTGCGCGCCCAAATGTGGTGGACGAGCTCGAGCCCCAAAAGAACTATTCCCTGTGGTCCTCCTCCCACGCCCGGCAGATTCCTTGCCGCATCCTGCTCAACAGCGTGGGGAACAAGGAAAAGAGGCCTATGGGCCTAACACTCCCCTCTGGCTTGTCCAGGAACATGACGTCCGTGAGCCACTCCCCGAGCAAGATCGGCTGCTCTTCGAAGCGCTGGATGATGTCCAGGAACATCTGCTGCGCAGATTCCGGAAGGATTGAGATACAACTACGGTGGAAACGGTCCCACCCCAGCCCTGCCGCCGGCGCATGGCAGCGGCACGCCGACGCTGATCTTCAAGAGTCAGGTCGGGCAGGACGTCATTTGCTTCCCAAGCCATGGGCGACTGCTCCACTCGACCCGTCTGGCACAGAGCCGCAACCAATCCTGCATGAGCTTATCCAGCGCCTCCAGGCCGTTGACCGGCAACGGCTGCACCTTCGCCTCCTCCTCCTCCTCCTCCTCCTCCTCCTTGTTCACTGGCGTCCCTGCCATGGCGCCCTGCTTGTGCAACTTCCTCTCAGCATACATTGGCCCGAAGCCTGGCCACCTCGGCCAAGATGTGCTCGTGGACCTCATCAACGTCATCGCCAGACCCCGCCTCCAAGCAGGCGATGTGCTGGGCGAGCCGCTCTGCGGTGAGCTCTGCCTGCCCTGCGTTCTCCATGTCGGCCAACAAATCGTGCAATTTGAGTCGAAAACCGGTGCCGTCGCTGCTGGGCTGCGCGGCCTGGGCCAAACTGGCCCATGAACCGAGACGTTTGCAGAAACTCTTGAATAAGGAGGACGAGAAGGAGGAGGAGGAGGAGGAGGAGGAGGAGGAGAAGGAGGAGGAGGAGGAGAAAAAGGAAGAGGAGAGGTAGAGGAAGGAAGAGGAAGAGGAAGAGGAAGAGGGAGGAGGAGGAGGAGGGGAGGAGGAGGAGGAGGAGGAGGAGGAGGAGAAAAAGGAAGAGGAACATGAGGGAGGAGGAGGAGGAGGAGGAGGAGGAGGAGGGAAAGGAGGACGAGGCGCACCTCCACCTCCATCCGAAGTCAAGGGGGCGTCGTCGTCGCCTCGTCCATCACGTCTCTCTCGTCCATCCCCCCCCTGTCGTCTCGCCTGAGCCGTAAGCGGTGGGCGGGTGCAGGCACTTCGAGAAGCGACACGCGTGCGCGCTCTCAGCTGGTCAGCGGAAGCAGGTGGAGCAGCAGTTGCATCATGAACGGGGGGGGCGGAGGAGGGAAGGGGGACGTGCAGGGGCGACGCCGCGCTCGACTCAGGTCGGGCATGTCCTCCTGCAGGCGGATTTTGGGGGGGAAATAAACAAATGTTCAAATGACTCACTGCGTGGAGCTCTCCAAATGTGAATCCATTCGAATGGACCTGTCCGCCGTGAGCGTCTAGGCTCAAGAGTTTTCGAATACAAGCGGGCTTGAGTAGTGACGGTTTGGGAGCGGCTCTAACTGCGAGTGAGTTGGAGTGTGAGTGAGTCTCAGTAGTACGAGCGCGTCTCTGCGCATGAGCCTGGGCTGCGGCAGGGCGTCCTTCAGGGACTGGCTGGCGAAGACGCCGGCGTCCTGCTGCACCTCTCCACTGGCGTGAGGAGGGGGGGGGGGGGGGGGGGAAATCGGGCGAGGGAGGAAAACCCGAAGACCCTGGGATCCGGGCTTCGCATTTTTTCGCACCGGGCGTTTTCGGCAGGTCTCGGACCCCGTGACCACCACAAACCCATCGGGTTCGAAAAATGCTGCAGAAATATTGTGTCTCGGGCTCCGGTCATGATTTTTGACAGGGAAGGGGGATGGAGACCCGCGCATGGGATGAAACAAATTCTCTCCCAAAGGCCGCCACCACCGGCTTGAGCCTGACGCTCAGCGGGGGCGACGGCGGGGTCCACCAGCAATTCGCCATGCCTCTGGCATTTCTCGGGTGCTCGTGACGCGTAGACCGTGCCCAGTCGGGCGCGGTGTGGTCGCTGCCGAAAATCTAGGAGAGGGTGAGAAGAGGGACAAAAAAGGGATGCTCGAAGGGCCGTCAGGCTGCACATCTGCGGGGAGCAGGGAAGAGGAGGGGTAGGGGGCAAGAGGAGGAGGAGGAGGAGGCGGAGGAAGAGGAGGAGGAGGCGCACCTCCACCTCCGTCCGAAGTCAAGGGGGCGTCGTCGTCGCCTCGTCCATCACGTCTCTCTCGTCCATCCCCCCCCCTGTCGTCTCGCCTGAGCCGTAAGCGGTGGGCGGGTGCAGGCACTTCGAGAAGCGACACGCGTGCGCGCTCTCAGCTGATCAGCGGAAGCAGGCGGAGCAGCAGTGGCATCATGAACGGGGGGGGGGCGGAGGAGGGAAGGGGGACGTGCAGGGGCGACGCCGCGCTCGACTCAGGTCGGGCATGTCCTCCTGCAGGCGGATTTGGGAGAAAAAATAAAACATAGTCGAAACAGAAGGGCGCTGCAGATGTCCTCCGTGTCCTCCGCCACCGATATCCCTGCGCCTCCTCGTCCGCATCCTCTGGCTCCGCCTCTGCATTCTCCCAATCCTCCGCAACATCCTCTTCCGCCTCCTCCTCCTCCTCCTGCTTCCTCCGTCGGTGCTCAATGAGACACCTCCTCCGCTTCTGAACCCATCTCGGTCTCCTCGTCCTCCTCGTCCTCCTGCGCCCCCGCCGTCTCCTCATCTCATCATTCCCGTGCACCTCTGCCCGAGTCCTCTGCTGGCACCCGCTCGGACGAAGAGAGGCCACCATTGTGCGAGCGCCACCTTGCGGTCGAGGGCCGTGGCGGAGACGAGTGCTGCCAGTTGTCGCTCGAGCATCGGGCGTGTGGTGTCCTTCGCTTCCAAGCTTAACCCAGGCAGGTCGGAGGGAGGAGGGATGGGGAGGAGGGACAGGGAGGAGGGAGAAGAAGGAAAGGGGAGAGACGACGGCGGAGGGAGGTGGAGGGTGTACAAACCAGGAGGGGACAGGGATGGACGGATGGAATCTGCGGAGGGGGGGGGGGGGCGTGTGAACTCCTGGCCCCTGCAAGCCTCAGGGTTTGGCCACGTGTGGGGGGAAGGGGCAGGGGCAGAGGGAGCCCCGAGGAGCAGGGGCCACGGAGGACGGGGCCGTCGGCAGGAACAGGGGGCGAGGAAGACGATGAGGATGAGCTCGACACACGATGGGCGAGGACGTGCGGGGTCGATGGGAAAACGAGAGGGAGCCTCGCAAGGAGCAGGGGCGGACATCATGTCGTGGGCTGATGGCGTAGTCGAGCAGGCTGCCGCCGTTGAACACATCGTACATGCCATGTCCCCTCAATTGGGCAGGATATTGGGGGGATGGGTTGAGTTTCTGGCGTTCCCCCGAATACCTTCGCATATACGTTGCAGTACACGTGCTCTTGAAGCAGGTGTATACCACATCGTATCTCTAGGCTCTTGTAGCTAGTTATGGTCTTACGGAGCTTCTAGCTTACACATTGCCCCACGCATTCATACTATTATATCTCTCCTGCCGTCTATACATATACTGAATTATCTAGCTGTCCGTCATGACCATGTGCTGGGTCAGTATAGAGAGATTGCTTGTTAATCTGATTCGGAAGGACAACGAAGAACAAAAGATGGTACCACCATCCGACAATCGATCCGGCGTCCGAAGGAAACGCGGAGAAAACTTACCATGATGCGCGCCTCGACCGTTCAACGAGCGAACGCCGTTGCACGTGCATCGACCTCGGTGTGCAGAGCCCCCCGTGTCAGGCAAATGCCATTAGTGGGGACGGGATGCAACTGGACCGAACAAAACACACAAACTAAGCCGGACAAATCCGCCAGCCCCCCTGTGGGGCCACCAGGCTGTAGGACGAAGTTGCTGCTCCCTGCGCCAATTGCATTTTCAAGTCTTCAATGTTGCAGTCCTGCCTTCTGCTTGCTATTGCAAACTGTTGAAATCCGCGCGAGGAGGGGGAGCCCCAAACCGCCCAGTTACCACGTACCGGATCGCGTTGCCTGGATTCCCGGAGGGCCGCGGGACACGTACAGATACATGAGATTCGCGCCCCCGAGGCCATAATCCCTCGTCAATTATGCAATCTTCGCGTCCCCCAGTCCACAAAGCCTTGTAAGTTATACAGTTCTTGAATCCCCGAGGCAGCACCCCCCCCGTAAATTGCACAATGCTCGCGTCCCCGATGCCATTAACCTTAAGTCGGGCCTGTCCCCCTACAGGGGGGGTTAGACGAAAAATAAAAAATACGCACAAAATACTCCAAAAAGGTCAAACATATTTTCAAAATAGTCCCCAGACTATGTTTCGACTATGTTTCGACGAAAAATAAAAATACTCGCAAAATACTCCAAAAAGGTCAAACATATTTTAAAACATATCCCCAGACTATTTTTAGACTATTTTTGAATATGCCTCCTGTAGAGGGACGGGCCCGACTTAACATTAACCTCAGCAAATTACGCCAGATTCGTATTGACGAGGCCGAGAGTGCTCCAAGGCGCCCGAGGATGGTTCCAAGACGGCCCAAGAGGGCCCAAAGAGATGCCAAAAGCGCCCCAAGAGGCCTTCCGACAGAGCCCCAAGAGGCCCAAATCGTGGACGTTACGTGGGTTTGTGAAGGATTTTGGCTTTCTCGCATTGTCGGCACGCTCCAAGACGGCTCAAGAAGCTCCCAAGACAGCCCAAGACGCCTCCAAGAGGGCCCCAAGACGGCCCAAGAGGGCTCCAAGATGGCGCAAGAAGCGCTCAAGACGGCCAACGGCGGCCCCAAGACGGCCCCAAGAGGGGCCCAAGCAAGGGACCACGAGCCGAACATTCGATATTTGTGCCCGGAGAAGCCCCCAGGAGGCCCCAAGAGGCCGCCAAGAGGCCCCAAGAGGCACCCAAGAGGCCTCCGAGAGGCCCAAGGAATACCCCATGAGACCCCAAGAGGCCCCCAAGAGGCGCCCATGAGACTCCCCACGACACTCCAGCACATATGATTGCAAGAGGCGTCAGACCGACAACCCAGGCACAGTGGCGGGATGGGCCGAAGGCCAATCGGATAACGCCAACGTGTCAATATGTGCTGATGCTTTCTATCCGCCCCCGCATGATGTTCCCAGGTGCGCCAAGGTAGCGCCGAGACGCACCGACGCGACTCTGATATATCTCATTATGATAGCGAGGGGGGCCGGCGGCAGAGGGCGAAGCCATTACGGATAAAAGCAGGAGACACATACATACATACATACATACATACATGCATGCATGCATGCATGCATGCATGCATGCATACATACATACATACATACATACGTACATACGTACATACATACACATACAAATACACATACACCGTTTAATAAAACCACGCGCGCTTCGCGCGCGTTTAGATTCCAGCGCAGGCCATGGCGCTGGCAGACACTATCAGGACACATTGGGTTCATGTCACGATGCCTCCTGGAGCGAACGCCTGCCTGCATTACGCAGCTGCGCAAGATGCTCAAAGCGGGTCAAATGTCACAGCCGCCCCGCCCACATCTTGCTTTCCCGCGACGTGCAGATGCTGTTCTCTCCCGCCCTGCTCGCTACATCGTCCAGTGTCTAGTGATTGTCGCTTCTTGCCGTTCCCCGCTCCCCTCGCCTGCCTCCTTCTGCCATGGGTCAGATCGCGCCCCCTTGTGCCCACCGGCGCAAGCCGGAACCGTGGCCAAAATCGTCTACATCGGGCATGGACAGACCCCCCTTCAGTAAAACGTGGTTTAGTGAAAACGACCCGAGGCCCAAACTTGGCGGGCGCAAGCCTGGAAAATAGCGGCCACGGCGCCCTCTCGAGAATCGAAAACGGACAATTCACTAATCGACGTGTCACTGTTGGGGGTTCTGTCCATCCCCGACTACAGCAGAGCAAAGTGCGGCGCCGCGGACGCACGCCCAGCCCTTTGCAGGGCGCAGGCTGCGCCGCCGGGGCAGGCAAGCCTTGTAAGACTGCGGCAGTGCCTGCCTGTTCCTGCGCCAACGTGAAGGGGCCCTGGGACACACAAATAAATACACACAAATCAAAATATTCCCCATATGTTCCCGCATTTTCTGGGCTTTTGTCTTCCCCACCACTTCCCATATGTTCCCGCATTTTCTGGGGAGTCGACGATGAATTGTGTCTGTGTGTCTCTTCCCCTCCTGACTACGGTGCTCTTGGAAGCGGATCACGCTGCGAATCGCGAGGTCGCCGCCGAGCTCGCCGGCGTCCACGGCGACTGTGCGCCCCGCCCCAGGTCGTGCCGGGCCCGCACGGCGCGCGCAGGACGGCCCGTGCGACGGTGCGGAAGGCCATGGCGAGCTGCAGCTCGCGAGCGGCACGAAGGAGGAGGAGGAGGAGGAGGAGGAGGAGGAGGAAGAGGAGGAGGAGGAGGAGGAGCGACGCTTGACTGCGAATCGCAGCCCACAGCAAATGGCGATCGATGCCGGCAAGCCGCTCGTACTCCTGCAACGTCTGCGGGAACATCGGGTCCTGCACGATGTGCCCGGTGAGTGGCCGGACACGGTCTTGGTCGCTGAGATCCCCTCTCCAAACAACAACATTCGAGCAACAGAAGTACACATACACGCAAAACCTCACTGGATCATTTTGCTGGCGGCGAGGCAGAGGCAGTCCGCTCCAGCGTGTGGCTATCCAGGGCAACCGAAAGGCTGATTGGCCGGCGTGCAAGAGTGGGGGGGGGCGGCAAGACGAGAGCGGCCGCGTGGGGGGGAGGGGGAGGGGAAAGCGCTCAGACATGGAACACACACACACACACACTGGAACATACACGATGAAACGGTCCCTTGAGGGGCGGCACCGGTACCCACCCTGGTGCAGGGGGAAAATCAGCCACATGCAGATATGGACAAATCACGGACGCGAGGGCGTCCGACGTGTCAGAGACCCACGTGCACATGTCGTGCACTTCTGCGGAGGATGCGGTCCATCCGTTTTGCGGGGTGAAATGTCCACAGTAGGGGGTCCGACCATTCATGGCAGCATCGAGGTCGAGACGGGAGGGGTGGGGAGCGAGGGCACGGCCAGCTCGCACGCACGAGTGGATGTCCTTGTCGAGCGAATAAAGCAGGAACTCCCCAGTGAGTCTGCACAGGTACTCGTCCTGGAAGACCCATACCTTGGAAGACGTCTGCAGTTGCTCCTCCTCCTCCTCCTCCTCCTCCTCATCATCATCATCATCATCATCATCATCATCCTGGCACTGATCCTAATCCTGATCCTCATCCTCCTCCTCCTCCTCCTCCTCATCATCATCATCATCACCAACTTCAGCACCAACATCAGCATCAGCATCAGCATCAGCTTCATCATCATCATCATCATCATCATCATCATCAGCAGCAGCAGCAGCATCATCAGCAACAGCAACAGCACTAGCATCAGCATCATCAGCAGCATCGTCATCATCAGCAGCATAATCATCATCATCAGCAGCATACTCAGAAACATACACATCATCATCATCATCATCATCATCATCATCATCATCATCATCATCATCATCATCATCATCATCACCGTAAGCACCACCACAACCATCGTCATCAGCAGCATCAGCATCATCGTCATCATCCTCTTTCTCCTCCTCGTCTTCGTCCTCGTCCTCTTTTTCCTCCTCCTTCTCCTCCTCCTCCTCCTCCGCCTCCTCCTCCCCCCCTCGTCATCCTCATCCTCTGGCTTCCTCCCCCTCCCTCTTCTGACCACACTCCAGAGGAGAATGGCGGAGAGGAGCTCGTGGCGTTGGACTCGTCAGATCTCCAATTTCCCCTTAATTGCGCATGACCCGTCTCTCTTAGCGCTAAGCGGGGTCGCAGCCTGCGAAACAGGCTGGCGAACTTCGCCGGTCGCTGTTCTCCCCCATCGCGCCGAAGAGCCCACCTTTGTTTCTGCTACGCCTCTCGCTGTCCCTCCTCCCAATCCTCGTCCCCGTTCCCCTCGTCCTCCTGCTTCGCCTCTTCCTCATCCGCGTCCCCGTTCCCCTCGTCGTCGTCCTCGTTCCCTCGTCCTCGTTCCCGTTCCCTCGTCCTCTCCCTCTTCCTTGCCCCCTCTCCTCATCCTCCTTTTCCGCGTCCTCGTCCTCGTCCTCCGCCTCCTCGTCCTGGGCCTCGGCCACCCGCCCTGTCCTCATCCTCGCCGTCATCGCCGTTACCCAGTATTCCTCATAGTCGCTGGCCTCGTCCTCCACCCCATTGTCACCCACGTCCTTTTCCTCCTTGCCTTCCGCTTTTAGCCCTTTGCCGCCGCTCTTCTCGGCAGGAGGAAGACGAAGAGGACGAGGAAGAGAAGGAGGAGGAACAACAAAACGAAGGTGTCGACAGACGGCTGCGGCGGAGAGGGGCGCCAGTAGATCCAGCAGCGCCTTGCGAGTGGACTCGGCGACGAACAGGTCCCGCAACAGCTGCAACAGCTTGCCTGGCCCAGAATCATAAATAGCGTCGCCGGCGTCGTCTTCATATTCCTCATGCTCTTCCTCATGTTCCTCCTCTCCTCCCCATCACCATCATCATGTTCATCATCATCATCAGCATCCGAATCATCGGCAGCATCATCACCATCATCCTCATCATCACCATCACCACCAACATCAACATCGTCATCATGCCATTGTTCGTCATCATCGTCATCCGCACTGTCACCATCACCATCACCGTCACCATCACCCTCGTCACTATTCTATCAGCCTCACCTTCATCATTACCATCATCCTCATCAACATCATCAACATCAGCATCCTCATCCTAAGCCTCGTCACCATCCTCATCCTCATCCTCTTCACCAGCATCACAACCATCGCCATCGTCATTATCACAGTGTTATCATCATTACCACCACGATCATCAGCAGCATCATCATCATAACCATCACCATCAGCATCGTAAACATAAAAAATCAGTACCATCCGCAACATCATAGTCATCACATTCATATTCAGATTCAGAAACAGGCGGAGACTAAGTCAAGCTTGGGCGCGCGACAGAAACTCACACCTGGGGGAAGCGACCGCCAATTATGGGTGGAAGGCCCCGCGGCGGCCTGGAATGGGCGACGCTCCCCCCTTGGATGGAAAGACCCCTTCAGGCAAACAGGGATCCGATAGGCCCCGCACCTTCGCAATTGCGCGCCTGCCACACTTCTCACATAAGAGCGCCCCGCGCATGACCGTGAGCGCGCGTCCTCCAGCACATCTAGGGCACGAGGGGCGGAGCAAGGGATCGGAGGAGAGGACCAAGGACCCAGGGCAAGGGCCTGGAAATTTAGCGGAGACGCGCCCAGACACGGGGAATCTCCTGACACACATGCAAAACGTGATGCACGATGCATACCTGACTGGGTCATGCCCTGCCGCGCGAAGCCTGCCCATCCTCGCCCTGCACGAGGGAAGGGCAGGCGGGCGGGGCGCGGGGCGGCCTATTCGATCAGCAACGCGTCGGGGGGTGACCTGGACAACCTCCTTATGGGCGGCCAAGAGTCGGTCAAAGACCGCGGACGCAACGCGATCGACAAAGTTAGGCAACTCAACTTGCTCAGAGGCGGCACCGCCTTCCAGGGCAGCCCATCCAGCAGAATAATCGGCGCGCCAATTCAAGAAATGCTCATCGCAATCGATCGCGTGCTGCGCACGCTGCCGGGCCGTCGCATGACTGTTAGTCCACGGGGTGTCGATCCGACCAGGGCCCCAGTCACCGAGAGCAGCCCAGATCCGAGACCAAAGATCAGTCATCTTGCTAGTAGCTAGCACCTGACGGTAAGACTTCACCTATGGGAGATAATCTGAATAGCAAGTGACACCGCCCGTAGCATGAGAAACCAACATCAAAACGGCGCACAAATCGGCGCGAGGCTGGACTGCTCACGGGCGGGAGGAGTACCACGCAAACCATTATTCAGGCGCGCATCAATGTCCTCAGCCATCCTAATACGAACCATAGCCCACCCACATCTACGTAGCCGCTTTTCAATAGCATGGGGCCCTCCTGAACCATCAAGGCCCCATTTACCACCATGAACTTTAGTGGGGGCACTATGAAGGCTCCAAGACCACGCGAGCTCACGAGGAGGAGGTAGATGCCCACAACTCGCATCCACACTCAGGAGCCCTCGCGCGTAGGAGACACTGCGAGGGTCTGCTTGCTCAGCTTTAGTCACCAGGAATGCACTAGCACGCACCGCAGGACCGCACAGGCGGGAATTACATGGACAAAACCACGTCGTACGCAATGGGGGGGTCAACATCATCACTTCCCGCGCAATAGCCTGCGTCGAGCAATCTGCCCCCAGGCCAGCAACCCCCGACCGCGATGGTGGCTAGAAGCGCTGCGCCAACATAATCTTCATCTTGAAACAGCTTCTTGTGCTTCCGTCGAAATACTGTAAAATCAGCTCCACTGTCGAGGCCACGCTCGCAGTAATGCTGGGGCGCAGTGGCCCAAACTGCGGCAGAGCACCCCTCGCGTGCGCATGACTGGATGCGGTGTCGGAAAACCAGGTTCATTCATTATGAAAGGTGCTCTGCCGTCAGCGATCCAAAGATCAACTTCTCGTGGTTCCAGCCCGAGATCTGTAACACTGGCGTAGACAGCAGCAGTAGGCCCGCGAACATGCCTCCAACGGTTAGGCTGGGCTACGTTACCAAGCTTCTCATGCAACTGTTTCCAGGAACGTCTGATGCCATTCTTAAGACCGCCCGATCGACTAGACCGCACTTCCGATGACATAGTTAGGTGTTCCACGCGCAGCCGATACATATGATCATCAGCATAGTCCTGAGGCACCCGAAGGACGGGGGCGATGCGAGAACGGGACTTCCAGAAACCAGTGCACGACGAAGCCGCCGAGGCACAAATCTGCCTGAGAGCCCCTGGATGGGAGTCCCGAGGCTCCATGGCCCCATGCGCCCACGGCCAGGACACCTGGTTAAAAAAACCTTCCGAGGGGCACTACAATCTACAGAGATGCGCAAGCTTCCGCCCGCGACGACATGACATGTTCCTCCCTTGGTGCACTTTCCAAGCAGCAGGTCACTTGTGACCGTGGTAACCGTGCCAAAGTCTCTGACATCTCGAGCAAACTTGACATCCACTCCAAGCCTGCGAAATTCGTCACTAAGCTGCCTCTCCAACTCGGCGGACGAGGCAACTGCGCATGACTTACTTGTTATTGACCACGCAGCCCAAGCCAACGATATCAGCACACAAATCAGCAACGTCTGGCGGCATATACCTGCAGACAAACGCGTCGGTCCCATTCAGAAGCTGCGTAATATCATCAACATATGACCTGACAGGCACTTCAACATATGGGTTATCTCCATGGCCTCTGGGCATTCGATTGTGAGCCTTCCCAAGGACACCGAATCGGTGGCACTTGATCCAGGGCATACGCTGGCGACACCCAGCAAGAATACCCCCCCCCCCCCCCCCCAGCTGCAATGACCCGCGACAATCTCACAAATAATTCCAGGCGCCTCGGAGCAGCGTGGGCGAGGGGCCCCAAATACAGGAGGTGCTCAGGGTGCCCTTGATTGGAGGCCGGGTGAATATGCTTGCTCGGCCTCACAGAATCAAAACACTTCTCGACTTCCCGAGGTCCCAGTTTATGGAGGCTGACGAGAGCCCAGAGCGAACCACTTCATGACATAACTCTCGGAATGGCGCAGCATTCAAGGCCGACGACCCTCTACCCGCAGAATCCCAGAACTCAGTATGCTTCTTGCTCCAGTCGTCAACGTCGAAGCGAAGCGCCTTGCAATCTATGCGGTAGAGGGTCGGGCGCGCCACCGCTGCTCGTTCATCACGCATAGACTTGGGGGGTAGCGCCATGATGCGCGCATGGCACTGCGGTGGGAAAACCCAGGGTAGCCTCAACCACATTCAGGATGCCAGCCAACATGTCCAATGCATCGGCTGGTGCCGAGAGAAAAAGACGAGGCTTCCAAAGGTCGACGCCAACGGCCGTCGCAGCAGAGAAACACGCGCACGCACGAGCGACATCGCGACGCTCGAGGGGGGGGGAGGGATGGGGGGCTTTCGATGGAAACCACCGTCAGCGAACGCAGCTCGTTCAAACCAGCGTTCGAATACCTAGCTTGATGAAGATTCGGGGTCCACCAAGACGCCCACTTATCCTCGCGCCGCTTCATCGTATTCCCCTGGGCATTCAGTGCCCGACTTAATTTCAAAATGCCCGGCCCAAACCACGCCCTCGGCCTTCATGTATCCGCGCGCATGTCGAGCTCCTCTTGGCAGAGAGGCCTTCGGCCACGCGGGCGTGCTTTTCTTCGTCATGCTATGGGCCTGCGGCCAACCCTTCGAACAGACGTCGCCCGCGGCGCCCGCCACGCTGCGTAGGGGGCAATCGAGTCTTCCATGCCAAACATTCGCCTCAGTGGTGGGCGCCAGCGGTGCAGCGCGAGAGAAAACATCGGTTGCGACGCCCGACGGAACGCCGCGACGTGGGCAGCATCGAGAAACAAACACTTGCGAGAAAGCTTCCACAGCTCGAAAAGACAGGCCGAGACCAAAGACCAGTAAGACATACCAGGGCTCCGGAAGCTCTGCGCCTGTGTACCACGAGTCATCAGAGACTTGTCTTGCCGTTTCAACATCGAGCCCCGGTCATGGTAGAACTCGGTGCCATCCACGACAGCACGCGCACGAGGTAAAGCTTGCAACTCTAGAGCACGTGGCCATGTAAGGTACTGCTTACCGAATGCTCCAGACACGCGGTCCACCGTTTGCTCAGGCAGCGCAGACTACATCTTCAGGCGTCACCAAAGAGGCCCCCAGGAGACTCGAACCAGCCTGGGCCATGCACGCAAGCCAGTGATTATCAGAATCCACAGCCCCATGGATCTCACGGGGCTTGCTTCTCTGACAGACGGGCACCACCAAAGTTTCTGTATCGAGGGCCGCGTCGAGGCGCTGATGGGTCCGGGAAGGGGACGTCAGGTCGGCATTAACCGTCAGGTATAGGTAGGGGACGTGTGAACACGCAACGTAATCAATCATAATTTAACCCGCATCACAAGTGAACAGCGCATTGCCAGGCAGGCAAGTCCTATCATACACAAGCGCCAGGACACAATAATCCCCCAAGACATATTCGGACATGTTGAAGTCCCACATCAGAAACCACGGAAGAAAGAGCCATCGCACAAACCCAGCAGCCCCGCGGAGACGACCTGAATTGGCACCCGAGACCCCGATGGACGGAACCTGGTAAATCCCGCCCACGGCAACAATGCGCGATTACAAACGCACGCCAAGGAAAGACACAATACTCTCCTGAACCAACTTGCAACGCTTTCGAGGCCTGAATCAAAAACTGGCTGATGCACGATCCAGGCTGGACGGCAGCGCCCCCCCATGAGCACCTCCCCCTGGCGAAGCCCAGACATCCTGAACATGCGGGGCCCAGTGCATGAGCCTGCAAAGCTCCATCATCAGGAGGGCCATCGGGCCGCGCGCGCGGTTCTCGGCCATGAAGACCTCGCCAACCTCAGCAACCTTAGCTGCAAGAAAGTCCAGAGCAAGTTTAAACCGCTGGGTTGTATGGATGAACTTAAAGCAGTATACTGGAAGCCACTGCACGTGGCTCGGCGAGCGTTCGGGGCGGGGCAGGGCCTGACCGCTGCCCGCGCCGAGCTGCTGCTCAGCTGATGCCTGCTGCGCAGGCTCACCGCCGCCCACGGCAGGCTGCGGCCCAGCGCGAACTGGAGCAGCAGCTGGCCCGCCAAGGGAGCGCCGAAGCTGATCTGCAGCATGCTTGCAGAAGACGCGGTACATGTAGCAGGTGACGTTCGGTCCCTTCTTCGCGCGCTTCGTGGCTCGTCCATGAATCTTCTCCCGTAGTAAATCGTGGTGCTGCTGCGCTTGCCGGGCGCCCAGCCCACCCATCGGCAGCGCGTCGTTTGAGGTCGCGAAGTTGGTCCCGATCAGCAAGCTCCACGGTGTCATCTCCTGCCGCGCTGGCAACGTCGGAAGCCACATCGTCGGGGCCTGGCTCGAGAAGACCGCGCATCCACGCATCCGCTGCAGATGGCGGCGGCAGTTTTTCCATTGATTGAGAGAAGCGGCGGTGAACTCCGCACAGGGTGTCATCGAAGAACTCATGGAGGTGGGCTTCCACGTAGACGAAATCAACCACCATGCCACGACTCCACGGGTCGTCATCAGCACTGCCAGGGACCATGCCAGACTGCGCACCAAGACCGATCGGCGCCTGGGGGGAGCCAGCAGGCGGCTGAGCCGCTGGGGCGCCCGCGGGGGAAGGCTGGGCCGCTGAGCGGGCGAGGGGCGCCTCCTGCTCGGCGCGACGGCGCCGCTGGTCGTGGACCTCGGCGCACTTGGCGAGCTTGAACTGGTTGACGTCGAACAGCGTCTTCTCACTGTCGGCGTCACGCGTGGCAGCACGATCCCTCTCCAAGGCCTGCACCGCCTGCGCATGGTTGTGCTGCATCTCTTCCATCGTAGCCGCTGCCTTATTGTAGCGCTCGAGCCGCCACTGAACCTCCGGCATCGCGAGACGCTCACACTCAGTTGAGAATTCGACCTTCTTCGCCAAAGATGTCTGCTCAGCCGAAGCCACGCGGTCAAGCTCAGCATCCGTATAATCATGCACTTCAGGACGTAGAGGAGCAGCGGCCTGCTTCGCCACCCCAGGCAGGGCAGGGTAGTGGGCCGACCAGTCCCCAAGCTTCTTAATGAGGTGTGGTGGTATAGGGTATAGGCACCGCCGCAGCTCAAGGGGGGACCCCATGGGATTCATCAGGTCCATCAGCAGCACCGCGACCACCATCGACAGGAACGTAGCTACCACCGCACAGGCTGCACTGGCGGTGACCGTGGTTGGCGTACTCCCAGTGTCCGAATGAGCCACACCCACGGTAGGAAGGATCTCTCTGCTTCTTCTTCTTCTTCTTGGGCCAAGAGTCAGGCTTCCACACCCGGCACCCAACACCACTCCTGCTGTTGCGATCACGCCACGAGACACGGGCGCGCCAGGACATGCCGCAAGTAGCAGGAGAAATCGGATCGTCGTGAAATCTGCTCCCTCAGGAGCGTAGGCCGAAATGCCACCAGGGAGCCTGACTGGGCTGCCCCATCATGGCCAAGGAAGTGTCCTGGCCAGCTGCCTTGACAACTGACAACTTGAGCCAAAATGGCTACATATCATCATAGTCATCATTATCATCATCATCAACACCATCAGTATCAGCAACATCAGTATCAGCATCATCAGTGTCACCAGTGTCACCATCATCATCATCATCATCAGCATCATCATCATCATCATCATCATCATCATCATCATCATCATCATCATTTTCGTCATGACTATCAGCCTCATCATCAGCCTCATCATCATCATCAGCAGCATCATTATCATCGTCATCCTCTTCGTCAATATCGCGAACACCATAGTCAGCATTACCAGCATTATAATCCTCGTCTTCATCCTCATCATCACCATCATCCTCACACGCTTCCTGCTCCTTCTCATCATCATCGGTACCATCGTCCTCATACTCATCCTCAGCATCATCATCGTCATCATCATCACCACCACCATCATCAGCATGATCATGAACATGCTCAGCATCGCCGTCCTCGTCATCGTCACCATCATCAGCATCACCAACAGCATCATCAGCAACATCATCACCATCATCACCACCACTATCCTCGTCTTCTTCAGTATCATCAACATCACCATCATCACCACCTTTCAGTCAGATCAATTTCTTGGTACCCTTCTCAATCCGCCACACCATGTCTCCTCATCATCACGAACCACACAAGCATGGTGACAACTTCCAGTCCAGAAGGATGCAGCGAGAAGGAGCGAATAATGATATGAGGAATTGAAAAAAAAGCATGGGCATTATCATCACCAGAGCTCCCTCCGTGTGGCAGAACTGGGGGGGAGGCGTGAGGGGAAGGAGGATTACCGAGGAGGAGCGAGCAGGAGGAGGAGGAGAAGCGAGGAAAACGAGCATGAGTTGAAACAGGAGCCAGGTTGGGGAAGGAGTGAGGAGCGGGGAACCAGTATGAGGAAAGTATTGGGGTTGTGAGGAGGAGAGGGGAGGCGCGGCGGCGGCAGTAAGGCTACGCGGCCTTGTGCGGCGGGGTCATCGATCAAGCTCACAAGGAGCGCGACCAGTGCGGCCAGCGTTTCAGGATCCCGCGCGATAGCGTTCAGCCTCAGCGGGGGAACGGGGAGGAAGGAGGAGGAGCAGGCAACAGAGAGGACAAAAAGCTGGGAGTTGGAGGGGAAGAGGAGAGGGATAGTCAGGATCAGGAACAGGACGAGGGCACGGAAGAGGCATTAGAGGAGGAGGAGGAGGAGGAGGAGGAGGAAAAGGAGGAGTAGGAGTAGGAGTAGGAGTAGGAGTAGGAGGAGTAGGAGGAGGATGAGGAGGAGAAGAAAGAGGTCGACGACGACGACGAGGACGGAAACGAGAACAACCCGCACGATTGCCTTCAGCCTTGTCGCCGCCGCCTGGCCGACTGGGATCCTTCCCCCCTTTCCCTCTCCCCTCATCCCTCATCCTTGTCCTGGGAGGACGAGGGACGGGGAAAGCTAGAGCGGAGGAGGCGGAGGGGGCGGAGGAGGGGGAGGAGGGAGTGGTGGAGGCGGCAGAGGCAGGGGAGAAGGAACAGCAGCAGGAGCGGGAGGAGGGGGCAGGCGCCTGCTGGGCGGGCGGCCATCCCCGTGCTCCCACGAGCGGCAACGGCGTGCACCGCATCCGAATCCACGCATTGTCTGCAAGCCACGCGGACCAACATGACCGAGAACAACAAGCTTCGAAGTTGTAGGCCGTCCAGGCGCCGCGCCCGCGAGAACCAGCGCGCGAGCGTCTGCCGCCCAAGAGCATCCGCATGATCTACGTTAGATGGCAGTTGGACTGGTTAATCACTGACACACACACACGACTACAGTTGGGGCGTTGACCCAAGGAAGCCCAAAATAAGGAACGGGGCCCCTTTCTTCCAGAAGTTAAGCTTCGACTTCCCATCGAAAACCACAGGCAGACCAGAGGCGAGCTGTAGAACGACTACGGAACACCGAGCCCCTCCCAAACAAAAAGGGTTCCTTCTTCAGCGCCCCGACTGTAGTCTGGTTGGGTAGAAACCTCCCAGCTGACCGGATGACCACGCAGTGCCACGTCGCGGCTCCAAATCAGAGCATTGGCCTTCGCCCGCCCGCGAGGCCCTCGCCAGCGGGAGGAGAGCCCAGGCCGAGGATCGCCCGAACACACGTGCACACGTGGTTTCGTCTGCCGGGCAGCGGGCGGCACGTGGCAGTCGGGGATCTTCTGACCCGGGTCAATCCAGACCCGGGTCAGCAGGAAACCAAAAACTGCAATGCAGGAACAAAAAACTGCAACGCAGGTCCTCGCAAACCCGGGTCAGCCAATACGCGCGGCCGCCTCGCGGCCACGAGCGGCTCCCTAACCCGGGTCAGCCAGAGGGGGCCTTCGCAGGATCCTGCAGGATCCGGCGCCCTGGCTGACCCCCGTCTGCACTGACCCCCGTCTCGAGGCCCCCGTGGCAGCTCGGCAGCCAGAGCCCCGGGGCCAGGAACTGCGCACGCACTGACGTGGCACCAGCTGTCCTTGCCAGTGCCGATGAACCCTGGACGTGCTCTCTTTCTTCGTTTCTTTCTTTCTCTCTCTCTCTCTCTCTCTCTCTCTCTATATATATATATATAGATTACCTCTCTCTCTCTTGCGTTCCAACCGCGAATCCCGCAAAGCATGCCCACACATGAGAGAAGGATGGGGGGGCGGGGAAGAGGGCTGCCCTCCGCCGCCGCCGCCGCCTGACCCGCGGCCCGCCTGGCCCTCGGCCCGCGCCCTCCCTCTCTCTCTCTCTCTGTCGATCCTGCTGGGTTCCGCGCGTGTGGACTATGTTCTCGGTGTTCTTCTCCATCACGGCCTCCGTTACCGCCACATGCCCCGCCCGGAGATGCTGCCCAGTCTCCCGCCCTTCCCCCCTTCACCCGTCCCGTTCATCGCTCTTCACCTCTCATGTCTCCGTCCTCATTCGTTCCTCCATCCTCATCCCACTCTCAATCTCCACATGCTGCAGCTGCGCCTTCTCCTCCTCCTCCTCCTCCTCCTCCTCTTCCTCCTCCTCCTCCTCCTCCTCCTCCTCCTCCTCCTCCCCCCCTCCTCCTCCTGTCCCTCACCGCCCACCTTCAGGAGTACGAGGCGGAGTTGGGAAGAGCAGGAGGGTCGGTAGGAGGCAGCGGAACGAGCATCAGGAGGAAGAACAGGAAGAGGAGGAGGACGAGCAGTGGCGCCCCCAGCAGGTGGGACGGCCGGAGGATCATTCCGGGGGAGGAAGATGGATGGATGGCGGCAGGGGGGGGGGCATTGCAGAGCGCAGAAAGGGAATTTAGGATGACGCTCCACACAGATGAACCTCGGCCGCAGGTCGGTGGGATGCCCATTCGGCTGCCACTGGATTGCGCAGCGCAGACCTGCAGCCCTTCGGCACGCGTCCACACAGAGATCCTCGGCGCGCTGCCCTTCTCCGCTGTCCTCCCGCTACTCCTCATTCTCCTCCTCCAGGGCTCTAGCTAAGCAGTGTGTGTCGCTTTTGTTTTGTTTTGCTGTCCCTCGTTCTGTCTTCGTTCTGCCTTTGCTGCGAAGCGGAGGCAAAACGAAGACGGCCCTGGAAATCACCAGAACACCGTTGAGCTCGAGCTCTGCCGTCCTTACCACCATCACCATCATCATCATCATCATCATCATCATCATCATCATCATCATCATCATCATCATCATCATCATCATCATCATCATCATCATCATCATCATCATCATGTTCATCATCACCCATCATCGTACTCATCCCTCTTCATCCTTGCCTATGACCCTGCCCCCCGCAGTCCCCTGCTTCCCGCGGCGGCCTTGCCCAGCTCTGCAGTCTCGTCGGCCACCACCCCGTAGAACCACTGGCTCCCCATGGAGCAAGGACAGGCGGGCTGACCGACTGCTAATCAAAGGTGGCGGCCCGACGAGGGCATAGGCCGCAGATCCTCTCTCCTAATGCTGCTAATGTTGATGCTGATGCTGCTACTGCGCTCCTCCTCCGCCTCCTCCTCCTCCTCCCTACTCCTACTCCTACTCCTCCTTGTCCTCCTTTTCCTCCTCCTCCTCCTCCTCCTCCTCCTCCTCCTCTAATGCCTCTTCCGTGCCCTCGTCTTGTTCCTGATCCTGACTATCCCTCTCCTCTTCCCCTCCAACTCCCAATTGTTTGTCCTCTCTGTTGCCTGCTCCCCCTCCCTCCTCCCCGTTCCCCCGCTATCGGGCGGGATCCTGAAACGCTGACCGCACTGGTCGCGCTCCTTGTGAGCTTGATCGATGACCCCGCCGCACAAGGCCGCGTAGCCTTACTGCCGCCGCCGCGCCTCCCCTCTCCTCCTCACAATCCCCATACTTTCTTCATACTGGGTCCCCGCTCCTCACTCCTTCCCCAAACTCGCTCATGTTTCAACTCATGTTCCTTCTCCTCGTTTCTCCTTCTTCTCCTGCTCGCTCTTCCTCGGTAATCCTCCTTCCCCTCACGCCTCCCCCCCAGTTCTGCCACACAGAGGGAGCTCTGGTGATGATACTGCCCATGCTTTTTTTCAATTCCTCATATCACTGCTCGCTCCTTCTCGCTGTATCCTTCTGGACTGGAAGTTGTCACCATGCTTATGTGATTCGAGATGAGGAGGGGACATGATGTGGCGGATTGAGAAGGGTACCAAGAAGTTGATCTGACTGAAAGATGGTGGTGATGGTGACGCTGATGATAATGAAGAAGACGATGATAGTGGTGGTGATGATGGTGATGATGGTGATGTTGCTGACGATGCTGATGCTGATGATGATGACGATGACGAGGACGGCGATGCTGATCAGATTCATGATCCTGCTGATGATGATGGTGGTGATGATGATGACGATGATGATGCTGAGGATGATGATGAGGACGACGATACCGATGATGATGAGGAGGAGCAGGATGCGTGTAAGGTTCATGGTGATGAGGAGGATGAAGACGAGGATTATAATGCTGGTAATGCTGACTATTCTAATGATCCTCTCTCCTAATGTTGCTAATGTTGATGCTGCTGCTGCTGCTGCGCTCCTCCTCTGCCTCCTCCTCCTCCTCCTCTTCCTCCTCCTCTCCTCCTCCTCCTGCTCCTCCTCCTCCTCTTCCGCCTCCTGCTCCTCCTCCTCTTCCTCCTCCTCCTTCTCCTCCTCCTTCCCCTCCTCCTCCTCCCCCTCCTTCTTCTCATCCTCCTCATCCTCCTCGTTGTCCACGTCTCCCTATGCCTTTTCATCCTCCTTCGCTTCTTCTTCCTCTGGCTCCCTTGAACGAAGCGTTTCCCCACCGGCCAACTTGACCCGATACGAACTACAGACGCTGATTAGCGAAAGAAGGGCAGCGCTTCTATCCGCTACCACTCCGTGCCGCGGCACGTGTGTGTGTGTGTTTGTGTATGTGGTGTGTGGTGTGTGTGGTGTGTGTGGTGTGTGTGTGTGTGTGGTGTGTAGTGTGTGTGTGTGGTGTGTGGTGTGTGTGGTGTGTGTGGTGTGTGTGTGTGTGATGTGTGTGTGTGGTTTGTGTGGTGTGTTGTGTGTGGTGTGTGGTGTGTGGTGTATGGTGTGTGGTGTGTGGTGTGTGGTGTGCGGTGTGTGGTGTGTGGTGTGTGGTGCGTGCGTGCGAGCGTGCGTGCGTGCGTGCGTGCGTGGGTTTGTGTGTGAAAGTGTGTTTGTGTGTTTGTGTCTCAGTTGGCATTGGCACCTGCTCCTCGTATGCTCGTGTCCCAGCCCTTCGTGGGCTTCCAGGTCGGTCTCGGCCTCTTGGTCGTTCTACGCTGCTTACTCGCTCCCTCCACCTGGTTGGCTTGTGTCACCCCCACCGCTCCGTAGCTGCTTTTGCGCACCGTCCCCTCCCTCTGTCATCCACGCGCGGATGGCTCATGGCTGATGGCGGCTGCGAGACCCAAGGCGGTCTTTGAGGGCTCGGGCGCTTATGCAGTCCGCGCGCGCCTCCTGTTGTTGAACTTTCTCCGCCCTGTCGCTGCGCGCAGGGCCGCGAAGCTAAAGTGTGTGTGTGTGTGTAAGTGTGTAAGTGTGTGTGTGTGCGTGCGTGTGTGTGTGTGTGTGTGTGTGTGTGTGGGCGGGCGGGCGGGCGGGCGGGCGGGCGGGCGGGCGGGCGGGCGGGCGGGCGGGCGGGCGGGCGTGCGTGCGTGCGTGCGTGCGTGCGTGCGTGCGTGCGTGCGTGTGCGCGTGTGTGTGTGTGTGCGTGTGTGTGTGTGTGTGTGTGTGGGTTCGTGTGTGCGTGTGGGCGTGTGTGTGTGTGTGCATGTGTCTGATTGTGCGTGTGAGGCGGCGTCCTCCCCGCATGCAGACCTGCGCTGCTCAGGCCAAAGCGACGCACGAGCTTGCAAGACTCGGAAGCACCTCTGGCGGCCTCAGAATCTTCGTCGTGGAGCGTCCTTCGGCACTTCCGGCATCAAGGGGCCCTGGGACACGCAAATAAATGAACACGACTCCCAGGACTCCCTATGCTTTCACACATGTTCTGGGTGTTCGTCTTCCCCCCCACTTCCCACGGCTTCCCCCATCTTCCTGGGAGTCGACGACCCACTGTGTCTGTGTGCGTTTTCTCCCTCCTGACTGGTAGCCCTGCAGGGCTCTGCCGGCCCACGCTGCCGTGGCCGCCGCCGCTGCTTTGGCCAGGCGCTCCTCCTCCTCCTCCCTGCGGCGGAGCCGCCGCCCGGACCGCCCGCACCGCCCGACGACGCCGCGCGCCTGGCGCCCGCGGGCCGAGCGCAGGGGGTGGCACTGCAGTGCCTTTTGCTGCAGCTTGGAGCCTTGCGAAGCAACGTCCCGACGCCGACGCCGACGCCGACGCCGACGACGCCGACGCCGGCACCGACGCCGACGCCGACGCCGAAGACGCCGACGCCGACGCCGACGCCGACAACGGCACCGACGCCGACGCCGACGCCGACGCCGACGCCGACGCCGACGCCGACGACGACGACGACGACGTCGACGACATGCGTGGACGTTGCGGTCCGAATCGCTTAGGGGGTCACAGCAAGGCGGCAGTCCTGGCGGGGTCTTCGCCCAGCCCCCCTTTCGCCGCAGCCCCGCCCCATCCCCCACAGCCAGCCGGCGGACGAGCACGACACGACGCGACGGGGCCAGCTCCTTGGAGCACCCACGCGGGGCGAGCGTGCTCTCATTCGGCGTCTCGACAGTGGACGGAAGGGGGAGGAGGAGGAGGAGGAGGAGGAGGAGGAGGAGGAGGAGGAGGAGGAGGAGGAGGAGGAGGGGGGGGAGGGGGAGGAGGGGGAGGGGGGAGGAGGGGGAGGGGGAGGAGGAGGAGGAGGAGGAGAGAGGAGGAGGAGGAGGAGAGGAGGAGGAGGAGGAGGAGGAGGAGAGGAGGAGGAGGGGTGGCCCATCGAAAGGAAGCTTCGAGGGTGCCCTCCCCCAGGATGCACGGGAACATCCAGCAAACACGAAGAACCTCAGGGTGCCCTCCCCGAGCTGGACCCGATCTTACACCTCGGCCCGACCGTACCGTACCACACAGCACACAGGCAAACAGCGTGCTGTTAGGACGTTCTGATCCTGCCATGCGTCTGTGCCTAGGAGCAGGGGTGCGTGGCGGGCCACGGCCGAGAAAGGCGCACCGAATGATGTGACGCCCCACGTACCCGACGGCGAGCGCGGCAAGTCCGGCAGCAACGCTCCACTTGTTCACCACGGAGTGGCCTCTGATCTTCAGCCTCCGCTGGGTCAAGACATGCTGACCGTCGCGCTGCGCTGGAGGGGCTCAGAAACGCCATCCTCCTCCTCCTCCTGCTGCTTCTACTCCTCCTCGTCCTCCACCTCCACCTCCACCTCCTCCTCCTCCTCCTCCTCCACCTCCTCCTCCTCCTCCTCCTCCTCTCAGCAGCAAGGAGCGGGCAACTCCTGGAAGCTCACCACCATCACCTCAGGAATGCAAGGCTTGCGAATTTGCAGACGTGCGAGACGTCCCGCGGAAACTTCCCAAACAACCCGAACCGCCACCGGCCCCCTCCCCGACAACCTGCCCCATCCCCCCAAATCGGGAGCGGCCAAGAGGGGGGCGTCCAAGAAGGGGGGGGTGCAAATCATGACCGGCTGCATGTGCGCGGCCCAGCGGGGGGGCCAGGGACGTAATGAAATAAGAAGAGGCGCCGTGAAATCTGGGGAAACATCATGGCCCACGCCATGACATCCACCCCCCCCTAGTCATCACCCCCTCTTTGCCGCCCCCGACCAAACGCACACCAGAGAGCGCACCACGTTCCACACTCACGCACCCTGCGGGGATGCTTTCTAGACCGAGCGCGCCAGAAGGGTGCTCGGCGCGGCGGGATTCGTCCCAGCCCTTGCGTGAGCATGTCGGCACGGAGGGCGCCAGCGCGGGCAGTGCGGGCAGCGCGGGCAGCGCAGGGCGGGAGGGAGAGGAACCGGGTCGGGCGAAAAGGGGGGATAGCAAAGGGGGGTTTGAGAATCAGCTCACGAAGCTGATTTTCCTGGCGCCTCCCGGCGCCGGAGGCGGCTATGTATCGAGAAATGGGCCCCTCGGTGAGGCCGAAACCAGCTGCATGCAGCAAATTTCGTAACCCCCCCTTTCCCAATCCCCCCTTTCGCCCGGCCCGAAGGAAGGAGGCTGGAAGGGGGCTCGGGGGGAGGGGGAGGGGAAGAAGAGGAGGGGCCGAAGGAGGGGGGGAGGCGGAGGGGCAGGAGGGGCAGCGACAGCAGGCGGAGAGGCGGGCGGAGCAATGGCCGCACGCGCGGCGGGAGGCGGCGGCGGCGCGGCGGGCAAGAGCGAGGGGGGACAGAGGCGGGCGGGGGCGAGCGGGCAGACTCACGGGGGAGCACGGCTCGCGGCGCGCTGCCTCTCGCGAGCCGAAGCAGCGCCCCGGGGGCCCACGGCACTGCTCCTGGAGGAACTGCGGGCCCCGACGGGGCAACAGCAGGAGGCCCGCGCAGAGCGTCCCCACCACTTCCATATGTTCCAATATTTTCTGGGGAATCGCCGATTCATTGTGTCTGTGTGTTTCTTTCCTTCCTGAGTGAAGCTGTTTGTCGGCGGCGAGCGAGGGGGGGGAAGTGAGAAGGAGAAGGCCTTCTCTCAGACGGTGGCGGGACTTCTCAGAAGCCCTCGCGCCCTCTGAGAAGCTTTCCGCGTCTTGAGGGAAGGCCCACAAAAAACATCTCAGAAGGCCGGGGGGCCTCCGAGCCGGCCGATGAGGCCTTCTCCCTCTCGCTTCCCCCCCTCGCTCGCCGCCGAGTTTGGCGCCTTCTGTTGCCAGGGGTGGGCCACTGTCCTTTTGGCCCTGGGGTCATCAGGATCTTTTCCACCATTCTGCTCGTGCAGTCCCCTCCACCCTCCTCCCCCTGAGTGCTCTCTCATGACGCCCTGCCCCCCTCGAACCTCCCCTTAACTCCTCGTGCTCTGTCCTCCCCTCTCGTCCTCGCCCTCGTCCCGATCCCCGCCCCCCTCGCCCTCGCCCTCCTCCTCGCTCTCCTCCTCGCCCTCGGCCTCCTCCCCGCCTTCCTCGCCCTCGTCCTCGTCCTCGTCCTCGCCCTCCTCCTCTTCCTCCTCGCCCTCCCCCTCCCCGTCCTCACCCTCCCCGTCCTCGCCCTCCTCCCCGTCCTCGCCCCTTCTCTCCTACACGCGCGCGCCCCAACCCTCGCCCCCCCGCCCCCCATGTCGCCGACGAGACGGCCGGGGCCTCCCGACGAAGCTCTCGACGTCGCGCTCGATCCTCCCCGCGGGGGCCGCTGGCCGAAACGGCCCAGCACGGGGGCTGAGGTCAGAAAAACGAAGCGGAGGAGGAGGAGGAGGAGGAGGAGGAGGAGGAGGAGGAGAAGGAGGAGGAGGAGGAGGAGGAGGAGGAGGGGGAGGGGGAGGAGGGGGAGGATGAGGAAGGTAGGGGAACGAAGAATGACATAAACATAAAACAACTCGGAGGTCCGCGCGAATTTCTCGGATCCGCGCGGGACCCCCTTGGCGGCGCCTCCGGCGCCGCCCCTGGTGCTTTCCGCGCGCCAGGGAGTGGGGTCCAGTGCGGATCCGAGAAATCCGCGCGGACCTCCGAGTTGTTTCATGTTTATGTCATTGTTCGTTCCCCTGTACACTGACGCGTTTGCCAGAAGCATGTGCCGAACACGTGCTGCGTGAGGACGGCCAGAACCGAGGGACGCAGGGTGCCCATGCGAAAAGAGCCTAGCCTGAACGCTGGTTTCGACTGCGCAGGCACACCGACTCTCGGCCAGCGATTTTCGAACGGGGGGCCCAGTGGGCCAGTGGGGTTCTGCTCTTTCGCGTGGCTCGTTCCGCCGAAGGGCCTTGAATGAGAGGCCCGACCGCTCACCCAATGACCTGACAGCTCGACCCTTGGCCCCATTGCCCACATGAGCCGAATGGCAAAGGCAACTCCTGAAGCTGTACTAAAACTCCTGATGCTCTTCCTCGCCCCCTTCTTGCCATCCTCCTGCCCTACCTCTTCCATCCACCAGTGCCCCCTGGCAGGTTGAGGCGTGGACAGATGGCAGGGGCTCCTCCTCCTCCTCCTCCTCCTCCTCCTACTACTACTACTACTACTACTACTACTACTACTACTACTACTACTACTACTACTTTTCCTGTCCCTTTTCCTCCTCCTTCTTCTCCTCCTCCTCCTCCTCCTCCTCCTCCTCCTCCTCCTCCTCCTCCTCCTCGTCCTCCTCCTTTTCCTCCTATTCTTCCTCCTCCTCCTCCTCCTCCTCCTCCTCCCCTCCTACCCGCGGACTGTTGCATACATTTCCCCTCCTTTCTGAAGCCAAATCCCTCGTGCCCGCTCGAGGATGGTTCACTTCTCGCATGGCAGCAAGTGCCTGAACGCCCATTCCATGCGCGCCCGCTCGAGGATGGTGCACTTCCCGCGCTGCTGCTAACTCGTCGACCCCTCATCCCATTGGACGCGTGAAACCAAGCGTCTCACCCGAGACATTCTCAAGACTTGACAATATGAAAAGTAAGTATTTCATATGATATATCCTCTAAATTCTGATCCCCCGGAGAAAGACAATAAAGCTAAGCTAAAGCTAAGCTACAGCTAAGCTAAAGCTAAGCTAAAGCTAAGCTAAAGCTGAGCAAAAGCTGAGCAACAGCTAAGCTAAAGCTAAGCTACAGCTAAGCTAAAGCTAAGCTAAAGCTAAGCTAAAGCTAAGCTAAAGCTAAGCTAAAGCTAAGCTAAAACTAAGCTAAAGCTAAGCTACAGCTAAGCTCAAGCTAAGCTAAAGCTAAGCTAAAGCTAAGCTAAAGCTAAGTCAAACGCTAAGCGAAAAGCTAAGCGAAACGCTGAGCTAAAGCTAAGCTACAGCTAAGCTAAAGCTAAGCTAAAGCTAAGCTAAAGCTAAAGCTAAAGCTCCCAGGGGACTGGGGGGAACCGCTCCCAGGGGACTGGGGGAACCGCCCGGGGCGCTTTCCACTGCCCGGCCCATTTAAGCTAAGAGAGTAAGAACCCTTCTAGGCAGAGCCTAGGTAGGGAATATTCCTCTTCCTATATTTTTGCAAGCCCGGGCGGGGGGACCCCCCCCAAAACTGGACTCCCGGGATCTGGGGCTTTGGGACCCGCCAGACGGGCCTCGAAGCGGCCCCCCGGGCCTCGCAGGGCGTTTTGCCAAGCCTTCCCAGCACACCTAGGGCGATCAGGGGGATCATCGGAGACGTCCCAGAGACCCCCAACACAGCACAAAAGCGCTCCAAGAGTGACCGACGTGACCTGAAGATGGCCCAAGAGGCCTCCAGGTTGGCCCCAAAGGCCTCGAAGACGACCCCCAAGACACAAACATCTTCTCATTCATTCAGGACAACGTACATGTTTGACATATTCGTACCTTCGACCTTGCCGCGTCCTGGACGGCCCCAGAAGCTCCCGAAGCCGCCTGGGAGGTTCGAGAATCACCCCACAAAAATCCGAAAGGGCTTCTAGGCAGGCCAAGAGAGCCCCAAGACGGCACAACAAGGTTCCAAGATAGCCTGAGAGAGCCCCATGACGGCCTAATTAAGATGGCCCCAAAACACACTCTGGAACATTCCAAATCGTGACCCGGTCGTTCAGGGAGACCGCGGTTGGAGGCAGGGTGGCCCGAGGAAGCCCCCAAAGGCCCACAGAAAACGCCCAGGAGCCTCCAAAAGGCCTTAAGAAAGCCTGAACAACTTCTGTGAGGCTCCCAGAGGCTCTCCAAAGAGGAGCCTCCGCAAAACGCAAAACATGGCGACAATGAGGAAAAAGAAGCATGGAGGAAGGATAGCGAAAAACATTACTGTAACGGCGATGCCGGAAAAGGCAACAAGGAGTTATTGCTAAATTGTCGGCTTGACCTTCCTGCCATTCCGCCTGCATACCAAGCTTCAAGGACCAAGGTGCATGGCGCGAAGCGCCACTGCAATCTTGTGTGTATATATATACATACATATCACAAAACACGCATATCGCTCGAAACATCCTCAGCTGATTCTGCCGACCAAGCGTTTCGCTCCAGACATCCGTAACAAACGAATACGTTCACCTTACAATGTTTTATCCATGGGAATTTCAAAATCCAACGTTTCGCTCGGGACATCCTCAATGTTTGCAGTCGCGGGCCCCACGCGACCTCGTTACTCGTCGTAGAATAAAGACGCCAACCCTACGCAAGTCGAGCCCGGGAGGGGGTAACAAATAAAAAACCCTCGGCCCGAGCCCTTTCCGGGAAAAACGGAGCCCCCGACCGTGAAGCAGAAGACGGGCAGCGAGGCAAAATAATGAGGAAGGGGCTCTGGGACACACTAGTAAATACACACAAATAAAAGGGTTCCCCTTATTTCCTAATATTTTCTGGGTTTTCGTCTTCCCCCCCACTTCCCATATATTTTCTTGGGGATCGACGATTCATTGTGTCTCTGCGTGTTTTTTCCCCTCCTGAGATGAGGAGGGGCCTGACCCCCTCGCCAACAGCTGCCAGGAAAACAGCATCCCCCTTTGCCCGGAGCAGCCAGCAGCATATCCTCAGTCAGTGGCCAAAATCCGCCAACAAAATATCCTTTCCCCTTCGCCTGAAATTGCCAACTGAATATTATCACTCTCTGGCACAAAGCTGCCGGCAAACCATCCTCGCCCCCTGGCCGAAAATGTCCAGCAAAACACCGTCGCGCGAAGGGATACAATCGCTGGGTAGTGGCTTCGGTAATCCATACGTCAGTTCGTTCCAAGTCATACCAATCCAAGCCAGACCAAAACGCCTTGTGGAAATCTGATTTGGGAGGTCGGGCTCGCGTGGGCAATTGCCGCGCCAGGGGGGGGAAAGGATCCGCGCAGGCGCACGCGCCGCCCTGCCTCGCCACTGCGCGAGAGAGCCGCCCTTCGGGAGGGCCCACCCAAAGGAAAAAAGAATGGCACCCGGCAGGGCCGAACGGCGGCGGCCCAATGCATCCGATTTTGCCCAAGGCTGCAAGGTTTGAGGAGCCCGTTCGCGGAGATGTTCCGATGTGCCGCCAAAGATGGCAACGAGGCTGTTGAGTGTTCGCCTGAAGTGCAATATTCCCCGTGGCTAAGTTTTCGCACCATCGTCATCATCATAACCGTCATCCTCCTCCTCGTAATACGCATCACCATCGCCATCATCACCATCATCACCACCATCGTCAGCATCCCCCTCAGCAGCAGCGTCCGTTGCATCATAATCATACTCAGAGTGGGCAGCATCACCAGTTTCACCATCGTCATCAATTTCAGCAAAATGGTCAACACCATAAGCCGCATCATCATCATCATCATCATCATCATCATCATAATCATCATCATCACCAGCACCATCATCATCATTATCAGCACCATCACCATCATCATCATCATCATCATCATCATCATCATCAGTGTCAACATCATCAACATCATCATCATATTCATCGTAACCAGCATCTGAGTCGTCATCACCATCACCATCGCCAGACTTATCAGCATCGTCGTCATCATCAGCATCATCGACAGTACCATCATCGTTACAATCGAAATCATCATCAGCATAAGCATCATCACCATCATTTTCAGCATCGTCCTCATTTTCATTACCGTCTTCATCATCACCACCATCGTCATCATGATCATCCTGATCCTTCCCCAACAGAAGCTGCATCCTGATCATCCTTCCCTTCTTGTCTCTCACTATCCTCCTCCTCCTCCTCCTCCTCCTCCTCCTCGAGCGTTAGCCGCGGACTCATGTGATCATCACCTCGATGCCGTGGGACGCCCAAAACCTGATGCCTGACGGTCGCCAGCACCTGCCGAGCCTCCTGTACAGCTGCTCTCCCCTCTGAATTTCTTGGCGGCCCTCCTCCTCCTCCTCCTCCTCTTCCCTCCTCCTCCTCCTCCTCCTCCCTCCCTCCCTCCCTCCCTCCTCCCTCCCTCCCTCCTCCCTCCTCCTCCTCCCCCTCTCCATCTTCCTCTTCCTGCTCCGCCTCCTCCTCCTCCTCCTCCTTCCTCCTTCCTCCTCCTCCTCCTTCCTCCTTCTCCTCCTCTCCATCTTCCTCCTCCTCCTGGGCTGCCGCCGCGGCTCCTCATCAGCGGTTCGGCGACCATGGCCTCCAGCCTGGGTGTCTTGCCCCGACTGCGCCACGGCGGCGCGATCCGGTCGCTCCCGGGCCGATCACACAACCGCCAACCACCGATCATCGAAGGAGGAGCGAGGGAGAGGAGGAGGGGAAGGACAAGAGACCTCCTCCTCCCCCTCCCCTTTTCCTCGTCCCCTCCGCCTCCTCCTCCTCCTCCTTCTCCTCCTCCTCCTCCTCTCCTCCTCCTCCTCCTCCTCCTCGTCCTCCTCCTTTTCCTCCTCTTCCTCCTCCCTCCTCCCTCCTCCCTCCTCCCTCCTCCTCCTCCTCCTCCTCCTCCTCCTCCTCCTTCGTCCTCCTCCTCATAATCATCCCCGTCCTCCTCACGCACGCCAAGGACAAGGGTTCGGTGGCAACCCATGGGAACCTCCCATACCATCCTGTTGGCTCTTGGGAATCGGCCCTATTCCACGCTAAATTGGTGCTAGTCGACGCTACATCGGCGCTAATCGACGACAGCCGACGGTAAGTCGGCACCATCTCATCGAGCCCCAGACGCCAATCGACGCCAAAGACAGAATGTCGAGGGTACACGAGGCTCTCATGATTTGCGACCGAGACCACAAAGGCCGAGGGAAACACAGGACGAGAGGAAACCGATCACGTGACCGACCGAAACGACGGTCACAGAAGCATCCTAGATGGTGTCGGAGTAGATGGGGTCGAACGGTCGCGACGCATCGGCGATGCATCGGCGATGCATCGACGATGCATCAGCGATGCATCGGCAACGTCGGCGGTGCATCGGCGACGTCGGCGTGGGGAAACACGGGCCCCACATCAAATCGCATCGTCGATGCATCGGCGGTGCGGCACCATCCTCCGACCCCATCTACTCGGACCCCACCTGGGAGGTCCAGACGAGCGTTCTCCCGAGCCGATCGCACCATCCACAACCACAGAGGCCGAGGGAAACACAGGACGAGTGGAAACCAGTCATGCGACTGGTAAGGCACAGGGTTGGGGCAACTCCAGGATCATCGCCTATTCGGGATATTGGGAATGGTTCATCCTGGTCCGTGGTGGTGTGGAATGGTTCATTCAATGTCTGCAGCACCAAGAAACATGTCATCACATTTCCCGGACTCTGACATAGCTGAGCCACGATGACAGATCAGCGCGTGCAAGGTTAAGGCATGCATGCTGCAATGCGCCAGCGTCGATTGGCCAGCAGCGTCGGTCCGCCAACAACATAGCTGAGCCACGATGACAGATCAGCGCGTGCAAGGTTAAGGCATGCATGCTGCAATGCGCCAGCGTCGATTGGCCAGCAGCGTCGGTCCACCAACACAAACCAGAAAGCGCACAGTGATATCATCGCTTAGTCCCCGACACGCGCTCACACGCGCCTCTCACGCCCCTAGGGGTTGGATGCAGTTGTGACAGGCCGAACTAACGAGCGCGACACCACCACACAGCCTTCCTTGGGCCTTGTTCAGGGCGACGGGTTAGGCTGGTCGCGTCTGTGGGACGCAGCGCTGTAACTACTCCGAGTTTCGTAAGAAACGTCGTGGGGGCGCCGCCCCTGCCGACAGCCCCACATCGACCCCCGTCGCGGGCAGCCACCGCGCGCCGAAGGCGCTCCGACCCCCGTCGCGGCGCGACGACGAGGTGAGGTTGACCCCCGTCGGGGGGGTACCCCCTCACGCTTATTAAGAAACCCAGAATAGGCGTGGTGGCTGTCGTCGCAGGTGCGGAATGGGCGTAGTGCGACGGTAGAGGGAAACAATTAGTGAACACCCCCCCTGTCCCCCAAACTCAAAGTTGGCACGCGCGGGGGAGACTGCGGTCGAGGTGCAGCTCATCATACCCACCGCCAACGATGAACATTGGGGGGAGGGGGAGGGAGGCGTTCACAGATGAATGTGGAATGAGTGTTGGCTATTTTTTTCCAAGGCCTGGACTGTTATTCCTCCTCCTCCTTCCTCGTCCTTCCTCCTCCTCCTCCACCTCCTCCTCCTCCTCCTCCTGACGTCACCTGACAAGGAAACGGACGCGAGAGGTGCCAGAGGGAGCGGGATGCAGCGGGCCCCGCGTGGCAGGGGTGTCGGCGCACGTGGTCTTCAACGCGCCTCACCCTCTCGGGCGGTCGCGGTTTCCTCCTCCTCCTCCTGCTGCTTCCGTTCCTGCTCCTCGTCCTCCTCCTCCTCCTGCTGTTGCTGTTGCTGCTGCTGCTCCTCCATGCTCCTCCCTCCTCCCTGTTCCCCGCTTCCGTTCCTGGTCCTCCCGGCAAGCAGGCAGCCAGGGGCGGGGGCGCGAGGCACCCCCGCGCGCGCCCGCCCTCTCAAGAACGACGGGCGTTGCCAAGCCTGGCCCGCACAGCTCCAGCAGCGAACCTCCTCCTCCTCCTCCCCATCCTCCTCCTCCTCCTCCTCCTCCTCCTCCTCCTCTCCTCCTCCTCCCTCCTCGTCCTCCTCCTTTTCCTCCTCTTCCTCCTCCCTCCTCCCTCCTCCCTCCTCCCTCCTCCTCCTCCTCCTCCTCCTCCTCCTCCTCCTTCGTCCTCCTCCTCATAATCATCCCCGTCCTCCTCACGCACGCCAAGGACAAGGGTTCGGTGGCAACCCATGGGAACCTCCCATACCATCCTGTTGGCTCTTGGGAATCGGCCCTATTCCACGCTAAATTGGTGCTAGTCGACGCTACATCGGCGCTAATCGACGACAGCCGACGGTAAGTCGGCACCATCTCATCGAGCCCCAGACGCCAATCGACGCCAAAGACAGAATGTCGAGGGTACACGAGGCTCTCATGATTTGCGACCGAGACCACAAAGGCCGAGGGAAACACAGGACGAGAGGAAACCGATCACGTGACCGACCGAAACGACGGTCACAGAAGCATCCTAGATGGTGTCGGAGTAGATGGGGTCGAACGGTCGCGACGCATCGGCGATGCATCGGCGATGCATCGACGATGCATCAGCGATGCATCGGCAACGTCGGCGGTGCATCGGCGACGTCGGCGTGGGGAAACACGGGCCCCACATCAAATCGCATCGTCGATGCATCGGCGGTGCGGCACCATCCTCCGACCCCATCTACTCGGACCCCACCTGGGAGGTCCAGACGAGCGTTCTCCCGAGCCGATCGCACCATCCACAACCACAGAGGCCGAGGGAAACACAGGACGAGTGGAAACCAGTCATGCGACTGGTAAGGCACAGGGTTGGGGCAACTCCAGGATCATCGCCTATTCGGGATATTGGGAATGGTTCATCCTGGTCCGTGGTGGTGTGGAATGGTTCATTCAATGTCTGCAGCACCAAGAAACATGTCATCACATTTCCCGGACTCTGACATAGCTGAGCCACGATGACAGATCAGCGCGTGCAAGGTTAAGGCATGCATGCTGCAATGCGCCAGCGTCGATTGGCCAGCAGCGTCGGTCCGCCAACAACATAGCTGAGCCACGATGACAGATCAGCGCGTGCAAGGTTAAGGCATGCATGCTGCAATGCGCCAGCGTCGATTGGCCAGCAGCGTCGGTCCACCAACACAAACCAGAAAGCGCACAGTGATATCATCGCTTAGTCCCCGACACGCGCTCACACGCGCCTCTCACGCCCCTAGGGGTTGGATGCAGTTGTGACAGGCCGAACTAACGAGCGCGACACCACCACACAGCCTTCCTTGGGCCTTGTTCAGGGCGACGGGTTAGGCTGGTCGCGTCTGTGGGACGCAGCGCTGTAACTACTCCGAGTTTCGTAAGAAACGTCGTGGGGGCGCCGCCCCTGCCGACAGCCCCACATCGACCCCCGTCGCGGGCAGCCACCGCGCGCCGAAGGCGCTCCGACCCCCGTCGCGGCGCGACGACGAGGTGAGGTTGACCCCCGTCGGGGGGGTACCCCCTCACGCTTATTAAGAAACCCAGAATAGGCGTGGTGGCTGTCGTCGCAGGTGCGGAATGGGCGTAGTGCGACGGTAGAGGGAAACAATTAGTGAACACCCCCCCTGTCCCCCAAACTCAAAGTTGGCACGCGCGGGGGAGACTGCGGTCGAGGTGCAGCTCATCATACCCACCGCCAACGATGAACATTGGGGGGAGGGGGAGGGAGGCGTTCACAGATGAATGTGGAATGAGTGTTGGCTATTTTTTTCCAAGGCCTGGACTGTTATTCCTCCTCCTCCTTCCTCGTCCTTCCTCCTCCTCCTCCACCTCCTCCTCCTCCTCCTCCTGACGTCACCTGACAAGGAAACGGACGCGAGAGGTGCCAGAGGGAGCGGGATGCAGCGGGCCCCGCGTGGCAGGGGTGTCGGCGCACGTGGTCTTCAACGCGCCTCACCCTCTCGGGCGGTCGCGGTTTCCTCCTCCTCCTCCTGCTGCTTCCGTTCCTGCTCCTCGTCCTCCTCCTCCTCCTGCTGTTGCTGTTGCTGCTGCTGCTCCTCCATGCTCCTCCCTCCTCCCTGTTCCCCGCTTCCGTTCCTGGTCCTCCCGGCAAGCAGGCAGCCAGGGGCGGGGGCGCGAGGCACCCCCGCGCGCGCCCGCCCTCTCAAGAACGACGGGCGTTGCCAAGCCTGGCCCGCACAGCTCCAGCAGCGAACCTCCTCCTCCTCCTCCCCATCCTCCTCCTCCTCCTCCCTACCTCTCCCCACCCTCCCTCCTCCTCTCCTCCTCCTCCCTCCTCCTCCCCATCCTCCTCCTCTCCTCCTCCTCCTCCTCCTCTTCCTCCTCCTCCTCCTCCTCCTCCTCCTCCTCCTGCCTCCTCCTCCTCTCCTCCTCCTCCTCCTCCTCCTCCTCCTCCTCCTCCTCTTCCTCCTCCTCCTCCCTGCCTCCTCCTTCTCCTCCTCCTCCTACTGCTCCTCCTCCTCCTCTTCCTCCTCCTCCTCCTCCTCGAGGACGAGGACGAGGACGAGGACGACGACGAGGCCGCCCTGGGGCGCCCGCCGCAGCACCTTCTCGTGGAGCCTCTCCGCAGTCTCTGGCTGCCACAGGCGGCGGTCGCCTCCAGGGGGGGGGTGGAGGGGGGCGGAGGGGTGGAGGGCGAGGAGGGTCTGGGGACGGGCGGGGGGAAGGAGGCTCGACGCCCATGGAGGGAAGGCCAATGGGGGGGCGAGAGGAACCGAGAAAATAAAACGGGGCTCGCTCAACCTTGAGCGATCGGGCGTTTCCGAAACGTCCAAATCGTTCTACATCGAACGATTCTGGGTCGCCCGCGGCGTTCCACGTTGAACGCCGCCGGCGGGGTCGCCACCGGTCGACACGACGCGAACCTACCGTGCCGCAGTGACAGTGCAAAACGCTGGGTACCCGTCGGGATTCCCCGGCAGAAGGCTGCCGAACACGCGGAAGGAAGGCCATCCACGCGAGGGCGGGCTGCAACCCCGTGCGAAAAGCAGCTAATGTTTGGTGAGCCCCCCCCCGGCCAGCCCATTTCAATGTTGATCGTGCGACGGGCGAGGTTCGAAAAAACAAACCGGCTCCGCACTGAACGTTGACATTGGGGGGGAGGGGGGAGGGGCGTAGACAATCACCGGCTGCTCGTTGCACGGGGGTGTAGAAAGTGGAAGACGAGGAGGACCACACCTCACTTTCGATGGCTGGCGCCCGTCGCTGCGCTTCGTCCGATGCGGCCGGTCGTGAGCCACGCCGGGGGCTCCCAGCGGGCTGCGGCGTAGACCTGCCCTTCGCCTCTCGAGGCGGCGCTCGGTCCTTGGAGCCTCCGCTCGCCAGCACGAGGGTAAGGAGGGAAGAGTGGGAGCGGCAGGGAGGGAAAGAGGAGGAGGAGGAGGAGGAGGAGGAGGAGGAGGAGGAGAAGGAGGAGGAGGAGGAGGAGGAGGAGGAGGAGGAGGAGGGGGGGGTCGCACTGCCGAGGGGTTCTGGGCGGGGCCTCCCCCAGCAATCCCGTCGAAGACTTCGCCTCCGCTCCGCTCATCTCCCCTCCCTGTCCTCCTCCTCTCTCCCCGTCAGCCTTCCCTCCCTTCTCCTCCTGCTCCTCCTGCCCTCTCTGACGCCACTGCACCACACGGTATGTACTGACGGCAACGTGTGCACAGACGGTGTTTGTAGACCACTACGCTGCCCAGCTGTAATCACTACAGGCCAGCTCAGACGAGAAGAGGTGAGAGAACGGGTGAAGCAGGTTCACGTCGGCAAGGCACTGCTTGCACCGTCAGTGGTTCATGCATGAACTCCCGCCTCGCCCCAATCCTTTTTCGACTAAGTCCTACGGGTCCTTGTCTCCACCTCTCCAGAGAGAGCGCGCCGCCTGACAACTGCTCCTTCAGAACGCTTCTGTGACTTGTCAGCTGCTCCTTTAGAATGGCTGACAGTTGCTCCTTAGTGACCTGCGGGCGCCAAGAAAAAGAAGCATTAGCGATCTCCTAAAACTGACGACCATCGTTGCCACATCCGCTCCCCTCCTCCATGTCGAAGATGCATCAGATATGTCTCATGTTGCTCAACCATGTCTCATGCTGCTCAACCTTCACGTATTCCTCCTCATCATCCTCCCCCTCCTCCCCCCGTCCTGCATATTTTTACTATACGCTCAGTTGTATTGCCCCTGGTTGTAGTGGATCGCATACGCATGCGTTCAGCAAACATCGCAATTACCCCTTATTACTGTCTCGTTGGGCCCACAAGATACATGAAAGGTTGGGGGCCTCTGGGGAGGAGGAAGAGGACGAGGGGACTGGGAAGCGATGGGAGAGGAACTGGAGGAGGGAGGAGAGCGGGCGGGGTGCGCTGCCGGTCAGCCCCCCCCGCAAGTCGAGGGGGAGAGGGAGGGCAGCACAGGACGAGGAGGGGAGGGGCAGATGGGGGTTGCGCCGTGCTGGGGAGCTCTGAGGAGGCAGGGAGGGCGGCGGGAGGCGAGAAAGAAGAGGAGGATGGGCAAGACTGGTGTGTGTTGCTGGTGCCCTTGAGGGTAGGCACAACACGATCTGGTCTAGGTTGGGCACACGGGCCCCCCCCATGCTTGAAACTGGTGCTCGTGAGAGTTGGGTGGACAACCTCATGACCCCAGAGCCTGCTACAAAAACCGTTGTGCGCACCTGGTTTTGGTGGATGGTATGCATGCGCAATGCGCAGCAGGAGGAGGACGATGACGAGGGCGAAGACGAAGCAGAACATCGGCCGAAGTCAAATACGACCGCGCATCCGCTTCCTTCCCCGTACCCCTACCCCCCTACATAGGGTGGGAAATCCTGCAAGGCGATTTCCACAACAAGCCAGAGGAGCGTTCACAGGAAACCTGCCAGGCTCCACAAAACGCCTGGCAAAACCCGCCACAAGCCTGGAAACGTCCACACCAACGCACACGGAACCCGCAACATACCCAGAAACGTCTGCACCGGGCGCGGCACTTCCACGACGAGCTCGGCAGATCCACAACACGCCAGGCCAGGTGCGCACGAGACCTGGCAAGGTCCACTACGGGCGTGCCAGGGCCAACAGCATGCCTAGCAGTGCCGATAACATGCCCGCAGCGTCCACACCACGCCCAACTATATCCGCACAGTTCCCGAGGTCCACAGCAGGCCCTGCAAGGTGCTGCAAAGATGCCACAACAGGCCAATGAGCGGGGCCCCTGTCGGCGACTGTGGCCATGATGAAGACATGATTTCCAACCACTGGTCCCGCCGAGCTCGTGGACACCATCTGCAACGACCATGGCAGCAAGTCGATCGACTTGACCAGGCTGGCCCATTGAAGGCCCATGGGCAGGCTCCGACGCATCTCCATGAGAGAATCCACATCAGCGCACCCCTGGAAGGTGGGAAGGGTGGACAAAATCCGGCAGCGGAGCTCTGGGACGTAGCCGCAGTGTCGCAGAAAAACCGAACGTAGGCGACCCAGGGCTGCCGTGTCCGTGGGCGCCCACACGACTGCGCCGCCTGGCAGAGCCTGCAAGGTCGCGACGTCACCCGAGCACAGCTTGGACATTGTCTTCCGGTCCTGCTGGGCCTTCTCGTCCGTCGAGCCTGCGGCCGTGAGTACTCGTGACAGTTGGGTGAGGCACCGCTCCCCTGAGGCTCCCGCTGGGGGGACAAAGCAGGTCGAGGGCGACCGGGCCCAGCCCAGAGCAGGGTTCCAACTCATGGTCACTTGGAGGCAACTGACCGTCAGTTGGAGGCAACTGAAGGTCAGTTGGAGGCAACCGAGGGTCAGTTGGAGGCAACTGAGGGTCAACTGCAGGCAACAGAGGGTCAGTTGGAAGCAACTGACCGTCAGTTGGAGGCAACTGAACGACAGTAGGAGGCAACCGACGGCCAGTTAGAGACAACTGACCGTCAGTTGGAAGCGACTGAGGGTCAGCTGGAGGCAGCTGACGGTCAGCTGGAGGCAACTGAGGGTCAGTTGGAGGCAAGTGACCGTCGGTTGGAGACAGCTCAGCGGGTGGGACCGAGACGGGGCGCGGCGCCACCCCGCCCCCCGCCCCACCCGGCAGTTGCCTCTAGCAGACGGTCAGCTGGAGGCAACTGACGGTCAGTTGGAGGCAACGAAGGGTCAGTTGGAGACAACTGACTGTCAGTTGGAGGCAACTGAACGTCAGCTGGAGGCAACTGACTGTCAGTTGGAGGCAGCTGACCGTCAGTTGGAGGCAACTGACGGTCAGTTGGGGGCAACTGAATGTCAGTTGGAGGCAACTGACCGTCAGTTGGAGGCAACTGAGGGCCAGTTGGAGGCAACTGAAGGTCAGTTGGAGGCAACTGACCGTCAGTTGGAAGCAACGTACGGCCAGCTGGAAACAACTGACGTCAAATGGAGGCAACCGACTGTCAGTTGGAGGCAACGTTCTGAGGATCAGTTGGAGACAGCTGGCCAAATCAGTTGGAAGCACCTCGCTGTCAGTTGGAGGCAACTGACCGTCAGTAGGAGGCAACTGACGGCCAGATAGAGACAACTGACGGTTAGTTGGAGGCAAGTGACGGTCAGCTGGAGGCAACTGAAGGTCAGTTGGGGGCAACTGGCCGTCAGTTGGAGGCAGCTGCCCGTCATATGGAGGCTACTGGCCGTCAGCTGGAGGCAACTGAACGTCAGTTGGAGGCAACTGACGGTCAGCTGGGGGCAACTGACGGTCAGTTGAAAGCAACTGACCGTCAATTGGAGGCGGCTGAGGGTCAGTTGGATGCAACTGACCGTCAGTTGGGGGCAACTGGCGGCCAGTTGGGGGCAACTGAGGGTCAGCTGGAGGCAGCTGACGGTCGCATGGGGGCAACCGACCGTCAGTTAGAAGCAACTGACGGCCAGCTGAAGGCAACTGACGGTCAGTTGGAGACAACTGACGGTCAGGTGGAGGCAACTGAAGGTCAGTTGGAGGCAACGGGAGGTCAGTTGGAGGCAACTGACGGTCAGCTGGAGGCAACTGGCCGTCAGTTGGAGGCAACTGAAGGTCAGTTGGGGGCGGCTGAGGGTCAGTTGGAGGCAACTGACCGTCAGTTGGAAGCACCTGACTGTCAGTTGGGGGCAACTGAGGGTCAATTGGAGGCAACTGACGGTCAGTTGGAGGCAACTGATCGTCAGTTGGAGGCAACTGACGGTCAGTTGCAAGCAACTGACGGCCAGTTGGAGGCACTTAACGGTATGTTGGAGGCAACTGATCGTCAGTTGGACGCAACTGGCGGTCAATTGGAGGCAAGTGACGGTCAGCTGGAGTCAACTGACCGTCAGTTGGAGGCAACTGACCGTCTGTTGGAGGCGACTGACCGTCAGTTGGAAGCAACTGACCGTCAGTTGGAGCCAACTGATCACTAGCTGGAAGCATCTGACGGTCAGTCGGGGACAACTGATCGTCAGTTGGAGGTAACTGACGGTCTTTTGGCCTCCAGCCCCCATGCAAACGATCACACGAGAAGAGCCTTTTATTTCTTTTCCTGGGCGCTCCACCCGCCAGCCGTGCCACGGTCGCAGGGGGACCCGATGCCCCGCGCGTTTGAGAGCTGGGTGGGTTGGCGGGGCTTTCTAACGGCCTTCTCCGCTGAGCCTTTTTTTTGTCACTGCCCGCATTCGCCCTGGCGCTCGTCACAGGGTCACTTCGGCGCGGGGAAGTGACGAGCAATGCCAGGGGCACTAAGCTGTACTGTAGTTCACATGGTGGCACTTCTTGCAATGACTGTGCTGAAAATGAAATCGCCACGACAGCCTGGTAGAGAGAGAGAGAGAGGGAGAAGGGTGGGTTACGGGTGGGGCCCTGCGGTGGTCACGAACTCCCCCCATCGAGTCCTCCCGCTCCCGTGCAAACGATGACACGAGACGAGCTGCTGCATAATTATCTTTTCCCGGGCGCTCCACCCGCCTGCCGCGCCGCGGTCGCAGGGGCGGCCGACGCCCGCGCCGCGCCCTAGCGTCCGCGCGGGCGCGAGGCTGCCCGTCTCGAGCCCCCCCGGGACCAAGCGCCGCCCAGGGCCAGCCCCGGCCATCCCCGCCGTCGCGCCCAAAGGCCCGCACCTCCCAAAGGGCCACGACGCCCCTCACGAAACGATCACGTCGCCGCCGGCCCGCTCCTCCACCGCCGAAAGGTGGCCCAGAGGGGCGCCGCGTGAGCCTGCGAACGCTGGCCGGCCAGCTCCTCCACCGCACGGTGGCCCTGGAGGCCGCCGAATGCTTATCGGAATAAGGCTGGCCCGCTCCCTCGCCGCAAGGTGGCCCAGAAGACCGCCGAACGCGACTGCGAATGCTGGCCGGCCCGCTCCCCCACCTCGTGGTGGCCCTGGAGACCGCCGAGTGCGAATAGAAATGGGGCTGGCTGGCCCGCTCCTCCGCCGCGAAGTGGCCCGGGAGAACGCCGGGCGCGCCTGCGAACGCTGGCTGGCCCGCTCCTCCACCGCAAGGTGCCCCAGGAGACCGCCCAATGCGCAACGAAGCAGAATCATTTGGCTGGCCCGCTCCTCCACCTCATTGTGGCCCAGGAGACCGCCGAGCGCGCCTGAGAGCGATCGGGGCCACCCGGGGTCGCGCTCCCTCGGCGACCTCAAGGGGCCATGGACGCAGTCCGCCGAGTCACCGCACAATTTCTCGCCCAAGCCCGACCGACGCCCCCCTCCCGGGCACGGCGCCCCCGCCCACATAACCTCTGTTCTTGGAGCCTCCCGCCGCGAAATTTCTCGCCCAACGCCGACTGACGCCCCCTCTCCTGGCCGCGGCGCCCCCGCCCACCGAACCTCCTCTCTTGGGGCCTTCCACCTCGCAGTTTCCCACCCACAACCAATTGCCAACGCCCCCCTCCCGGCCGCGGCGCCCCCGCCCACGGCACCTCTGCAATTGGGGCCCCCCGCAGCAAAATTTCTCGCCCACAGCCGACCGGCGCCCCCAGCCTGGCCACGGCACCCCCGCCCACGGAACC